TAGTTCTGCCTTTTCCAGAATGTCATATAGTTGGAATCGTACAGTTTGTACCCTCTTCAGATTGGCATCTTTCATTTAGTAATCTGCATTTGAGGTCCCTCCATGTCTTTTCATGGCTTGATAGGTCATTTCATTTTTGTGCTAGGTAATATTCCATTGTCTGGATGTACCTCATTTTATTTATCAATTCACCTAATGAAGGACATCTTAATTGCTTCCATGTTTTGACAGGTTGAATAAAATTGCTATAAACATTTGTGTACAGGTTTTTTCTATGTACATAAATTTTCAACTCTTTTGTGTAAATATCAAAGAACTTGATGGTTAAATCATATACTAAGAGTGTGTTTAATTTTGTAAGAAACTCCTAAACTGACTTCCAAAGTGGCTGCACCACCAGCCACTTTTATTTCCACCAGCAAGGAATAAAAGTTTCTGTTCCTCCACATCTTTGTCAGTATTTGGTGTTGTTTGTATTTTGAATTTTAGCCATTTAATAGGGTATCTTGTTTTAATTACAATTTTTCTAATAACATATGATGTTGGAACATCTTTTTTTAATTGTTTAATTTATTGATTTTAGAGAGAGGAAGGGAAGGAAGAGAGAGACACGGAGAGAGAAACATTGATTTGTTGTTCCATTTATTTATGCATTTCCTGGTTGCTTCTTGTATGTGCCCTCACTGGAGACGGAACCAGCAGCCTTGATGTATCAGGATGATGCTCTAAAACAGTGGTTCTCAACCTGTGAGTCGCGACCCCTTTGGCGGTCGAACAACCCTTTCACAGGGGTCACCTAAGACCATCCTGCATATCAGATATTTACATTACAATTCATAACAGTAGCAACATGACAGTTATGAAGTAGCAACAAAAATAATTTTATGGTGGGTCACAACATGAGGAACTGTATTTAAAGGGCCAGAAGGTTGAGAACCACTGCTAACCAATTGAACTATTTGGCTAGGGCTGATGTGGAACATAACTTTTCATGTGCTTATTTGACATCTCCTTTGGTGAGGTGTATATTCAGATCTTTTGCCCATTTTTAAATTTTGTTGTTTTCTTATTATTGAATTTTAAGAGTTTTTTGTGTATTTTGGATACCAGTCCTTTATCATACATGTATTTGCAAATATTTCCTCCTAGTCTGTGGCTTGTCTTTTTATAACCTTAAACTTTTTCTCTTTTGATGTACTTCTTTTAACACCCAATAACTTTGTAAGTCAACTTGGAATTTTTTTCATTTAAAATAAAGAGCAAATTAAAATAATAAAAATGAAAGTTGTTTAAATTTGCTGAGTTTATTATTCTTAGGATATATAAGGCCTTTCAGATTGCTGGGCTGCAATAACCTCATTTACTCTATCAGAAACATAAATGCAATTTTTCAATAAAGAGGGTGCAAAGAAGACAGTCCACCATTGTTTGGTTATCTTGGAAAGGGAAAAACAACCTTTCAGGTTTGAGTGTTAACAGTGAATATAGTTCCATGAACTGCAAGTGCCTTTGAGTCAGAGGCATGTCTTAAAAACTTGTAAGAAACAGTAAACAAGCCTAAAAAATGTTAGTCTAGCCAGGCTGGTGTGGCCCAGTGGTTGAGCACTGATCCATGAACCAGGAGGTCAAGGTTCAATTCCTGGTCAGGACACATGCCTGGGTTGCAGGCCCAGTCCCCAGTGGGTGGCATGCGGGAGCCAGCTGATCAATGATTCTCTCTCATCATTGATGTTCCTCTCCCTCTCCCTTCCTCTCTCTGGAATCAATAAAAATACGTATATTTTTTAAATGTTAGTCTACTCTAGGTTAGGTAAATTATTCATTGATTTAGAATACCTCTGTCAATTTTAAAACCTACTCAATTTTTTACTCATTACGGCTGTATAAAGACAATAGGTTCCTAGAGTTGATCACTTAATGAACATCATTTATTTGGGAACCAGTATGAATGTTTGCTTTAGTCATATGTTAGATGTTGACGTACATGTGTATCTTCAGGTGATAACAAGTACAGACGAGTGACTTGAAGTAGGGAATGATTGCAGAAGGGATCCAGTCCAGGGCTGGAAAACAGTCCCAGTTCCCTGTCTACCATTCACTGGCAGCATCTTTCTCATCACAGTGTGCAGAAGGGTGCTGAAGCTGCCTCTGGGCTCCATAGTAATGTTTGCCATGAGCAAAGGGGGCCAGTATAGCCTCAAGCTCATGATCGTCTTGCTCCATCGAGTCTTATATCCTCACTCAAGAATGAGAAAATAAAGGCCCAAATATCTTAACACATTGAGCACCAGTTTTATTGCTAACTTGACCCAGTGACCAGATAAGTTTCTATTGAACGAGTACAAAAAACGTTTTACAAAGTATCATACTTTAAAAAGATATTAGCTTGTAAGAACATGTAATAACTTCAAAATGCAATGGGTATTCAATTTTAAGGCATACCTTTAAAATTTATGTAAAACACTGTGTAATATGAAAACACGAGAATGCTCGTGATCCGCCCACAATGTGTTAAAAGGCTTTTCTAATGTCATCCAGGTAGCTGCTTGATTGTGGTGGTGATATTTAGCAGATAGGAATTTCATTGTTTACATATTACCATCAAAAAACATCTTTGGTATGAAGAATGCACCACTAAGAGATTGTCTTAAGAATTGTTCTTAAGATTTAATGTATTAACAATGACAGATGTGAAGATTGATAAACTGTGCATGCCAAAATAATAAGTACATATTCAGGAAAAGTGTTTAAAATATTCAGTAAGACAAAATCTATTCTAGTCAGGAGGTAACTATGAGTCATTAATAGAAATCAAATTGTGAGAAGCCAGAAAACTAAGAGCCACATAGAATAGTGGTCTGTGCTTGATCTAATCAATGTCACCTGTTAGACAAAAGGAAAAACACAGCAGCCAGAAGATAGCTAATGAAAACAATGCCCAAGGCAGCTGATGACATTAAAAAAAAAAGTCCTCCAGTGAGAGCCTGGCTGTGGTCTGCTGGGTCAGAAGATGGGAGAAATGTGTATTTATTTGTGTTTGTTTTGTTTGTTTTTACTCATTGAGAAAGTACTTTGGCCAGACACTGATGTGTATTTGTGCGGTGTATGTGTAAATATTGTGGTCTAGCTAAAGCAAATTAAGTAGTAAGCAGGAAATTGATAGCTAAAGAAAGGGTGCATTGACACCATAAGAAGTGATATATGTGCTCCTACAGCAAAAATGCCTAGTTCTACATTGCATGCTCTGCCATCTGTCAGCCACTTAGGCTATAATAGCTGATGTTTGTGGAGTGCTTGATATGTGCTATCACTGGGCCACATTTGAGTACATTATTTTATTTTAATGTCAATCATTTCAAAAAAGTAGGCAGTATCATACACATTTTTCAGAAGGTAAAACAGAGAAGTTCACATACCTGCAAGAGACATAATGAACACTCAAACCCAGAGTTACCTGTTTAAAACTGCCTCTCTCATCTAACTTCTCTGAATCTCTGTGTTCTTATCTGGTAACTGGAGATAATACCAATAGAAGCATTGGAAGAACCAATTTTTTTGTAAAAACTTTATAAATTGCTGAGCATTATTCAGAAATAATATGCTGTTATCTATAAACAAGATTAAAACCAGTGAGCAGCATTTCATTATCATCCCACTTATTTCTATCCGTTGAACAATGTTATGTAGTTTTGCTAACATATAATTTATTTTCATACATGGTTAACCTTTCTTCAAATACATCATTGATTATTTAGCAAGCTACAATTAAAGCTTTACTTTTCTGTCATAAATGTATCCTTTTTCATACATGGGTAACCTTTCTTCAAATACATCATTGATTATTTAGCAGGCTACAATTAAAGCTTTACTTTTCTGTCATAAATGTATCCTTTTTCCTAAATAGTTATGTTTGAGGGGACTGAGTAATTAATTTCCAATATAATTATGGTTACATAGTAGTACACACCACTTAGGGGTCTTCTGAATACTTATTATTTTGGCATGTACATTGTTGATCAATTTTCATATTTGTCATTGCCAGTACATTAAATCTTAAAGACAAATATGCTTAATGTATTAGATTAGAAATCTTGGTACTACACACAAAAAAAAATAGTTTAGCTTAATTGTTGCCAGTTAATTCATTTTAAAATCCAAGGCCATGTTGAAAGACCTTTGAAGGATTAGATGAATATGATAATTGTGTATCACAGTAAATTAAACTGATGGATTTCCTCCCCCATATGACTACTTTTTTCCTTTCTCCAAATGTCTGCTTAATGGCCAAAAATATAACATATACATTTATATTTTTTACTTATAAATGATAACTAAAACCTTTACATGTAATGGACATTTTGTTATGTTGAGTAGGAAGAATGTTTCTCAAATTAGGAGAATATTGAATACTGTAATACAAAACTGAGGTTTGTAGCAAAAAAAAACAAACAAAAATAAACTAATTAAGTTAGTTTAACAGGCTTTGGATTCATAGCTATAATTTTTAAGTAAGGATTGATAGGGAAAGTTTTAAGGGGAGATCTAAGACAAGGAATAGGGTTCATTCTTCTCAGGCTCAGAATCTGGTAATATGGGAATTAAGTTTGGGTTTATTGAAACATGGCTTTTGTTGGTCCTTGAATACTCTCCTTTACTGTTGGGATTTTTATATTTCACACGATATTTGGGGCCTCCAAGCACCACATCATTCCCAGCTACTTCTGTTAGAAATTATCTGCAGGTTAGCTGTACTTACTCAGGGACCTTGATGATTTCTTGTTTATTGTAGGGACAGGCTGTTGCAGGTGTAGATCCACTTAACTGAGCCTTTGTCCTAGTGAAAAAGGAGATGGTGAAGTGTGATCACACTTGGTCCTCCATCCATCACTTACTGTATAGTTACAGCAAGCAGGATTTTAAAATTTGCCTCTTTTTATTCATGGCAGTTGAGGGAACTTTGTTGAGTGTGTTGACTTCTCTTTATGTTCTGTTTTCCATAGAAACGCTCCAGAGGCCAAGTGCTGTTTGATAAAGTATGTGAACATCTGAACTTGCTAGAAAAAGACTACTTTGGGCTTACGTATCGAGATACTGAAAACCAGAAGGTGAGTAACTAAAAGCAGTGCAAAATACTAGGGCTTGAGCTGCTGCTCATTACTGCCAGAAAGTGAACTAGAATTGAATTGGTAAATCTACCCCACCTCTCCTCAAACTCCCACATTTACTACTGTGAGTCCCTAAATGCTACTGACCACCTTATTTCTTCATAAAGGAAATTATTAATTGCTTCCTTTAATCTCGAATATTGTGGAAACCATAAGACTATGTTTCTCTTCAGTTGTTTATGGTTCCAGGAAAGCATTTTATATGTGGCTTTTTTGTGATGATATATTTCAGTATATATCATCTGATATATGAGCCAATGAAAATCAAATACATTGATACTTATATAGAAACCATGCTCGAGGCTGCTCTCCTATTCTTAATTCATCTTATTATGCTTTCCTATTCTTGCCAAATCAGAATATGAGATGAGTTGTTGGCTGACCTGACACTTGTCTCATGTAGTTAGTAGGTATTTAATGTTTAATGCAATACCTCTGTAGACTCTACTCTCTTATACCTGAACTAGTGGCCCGGTGCACAAAATTCATGCAGGGAGGGTGTCCCTCAGCCCGGTCTGCACCCTGGGACCCCTCGGGGGATGTCCGACTGCCGAAATTCGTGCACGGGGGTGGGGGAGGGGTGTCCAGCCTGCAATCTGGAACCCCTCGGGAAATGTTCGACTGCCAGTTTAGACCCGATCTTGCAATCCAGGACCACTGGCTCCTAATCGCTCACCTGCCTGCCTGCCTGATTGCCCCTAACCACTCTGCCTGCCGGCCTGCTCTCCCCCAACTGCCATCCCCTCCTGGCCTGATCGCCCCAACCGCCTCTGCCTCAGCCCCGCCACCATGGCTTTGTCCGGAAGGTCTCCTGGTCTAATTAGCATATTACCCTTTTATTAGTATAGATAATGCAGTCTCTTCAGAGATTTACTTCATGAATCCCCACAACTACCTGAAAAACAAGGGAAAAGAAATTGTTTCCATTGTATTGGTGTAGAAACTGAGTCACAGAAATTTTGTTCACAGATGTTACATGTTTTGGTGGTGTGCACTGAATCATATCTCCTGGATTCAGTGGACAATGTCTAACTTCACTATCTGAGTGTTCTGATGAGGAAACTCTTACATCTCAAGCAAGCATTCATTTGTTAGGAAAGTTTTCTAAGTAGGTGCCTGAGAATTTGTAATCACAGAAGTCACTGTGTGGGACTGAATGGCTAGGATAACATTGTGTCAAATTACATGTATCTTTAGTTTATTCTAGTAATTTGTTTGAACATAAAATCCACTGGTTTTTGTTTTGGGTTTTTATCTACTCTGTTTCTCTGCTAGCTTGAGTCCCTGAAGTCATTGATTGTAAAAGAAAAGAATGTTGTTAGAGTGAATTGTGGACACCACATTTTTTTTCACTAGACCAGTGCCTGGACCCTCGCAGGACCTGGCAAACGGGCAGCAGATGTGGGGGAAGGGCCCAGCGTGGAGGGCCTTCCAGCAGCCACTCACTCTCAAATACGCTGAGTGGGTGTCCCTGCCGGGTCAACATTAAGTCATATTTACTCTTCTCTGATTCAAATTCAAGCTATCGTTTCCTTTTCAGAATTGGTTGGACCCTGCTAAGGAAATTAAAAAACAGATTCGAAGTAAGTTCTTTTGGATTATTATATGTGAAAATGTGAAGATTTTCTAAGGGTGGGGTTGTCTGAATTGGTAGCGCATACTCGCATGGCTGGTGTGAATACAGTGTTTTGAAAAACAGAATAAAATCTCAAATTTTATCTTTGGCAGGTTAGTCTAGCTCAGATCTTATTTTTAATTATCACAACTCAGAAATAAAATAACTATGACTTTTGACTTATTCCCTTGCCTGTACACAGATGTGAAATGGGATTTAATCAAGTGATGCTCCAATTGGTACTTAATCATTTAAAAGTTCCCAACTTAATTATTACTGTTCCAAACTTTATTATTAAAAGTGAAGCAAAAGTAATAGTCATTTAATAATTTAGAAATGGAATAACAAATGAGACTAAAGTTTACTGTGTGGTGACAACCTCTTTTCTTGGTCCTTAAAGACAAGGTGAGAAATGCATATTACTTAGTAGAATATAATTTGTAATAGCAGAAAACTAGAACCAACATAATTTATCCATTTATGAAGAAATTAGTAAGTCACTCAGGGAATACCCATACCTCTAAATACTAAGCAGCTATTACATAGAATGAAGCAGAATAAATATGTCTTAGCTTTCATTAGTGAGACATTAATGAAACAAATCATATTTTTTATTATTATAATATAAAAGTTTAATAATCTTGTGTGAAATCATTGACTGATATATTTAAATTAATTCTTCTTGGGAAATACACTATTCTTTATTATTTTTTATTCTTCATTGTTTGAGACAAATCATATTTGTTTAAAAAAAGTTATGCATATAGAGGGGTGTGGAAAATTTTTGGAAGAGCACAAAAGATATTAACAGTAAATACCTCCAGAAATGGCATTGCAGTGTTGGAGGGTAGAGAAAGAGGAATTTTAAAATGTTTATTTTTAACCTTTTTTTATTTTTAACCCTCTTGCTTTTACCATAAACATGGATCACCTTTATAATTTTAAATAACTACTTAGTGTTTTAAAGCAATTATTTTTATCAGTCAAATCTAGATTAATTTTCCTGAACAACTAATTTTAGTTTATAAATTTAAAACCAGCTTATTAATAAGAACATTCACATTGAGTTTCCACCGCTTACTATTAGAAGAGAAAAGAGATGTTTTAATGCCTTTGAATGTGTGAAATATTAAAGTACACCAACTATTAATAAGAAGTAATTAGTAGTGAGCAGTTTGAAATGGTTTAATACTAAATAGTATCACAAAAGAAGAAAAAGCTCACCATACTTCTAGATATTAAAGAGTCTGCTGATTATTTATTACAACGATAACATCTTTACCACATTTTTGAGAAATTGAATGTATTCATTAACCAGAAACTTGATAATGAGTAGTTTGACAAGTAGCGATTGAAACCAGGGACAGCTATGAGTATGATAAGTAGGTGAAAATACTTTTTTTTGTTCCAGAGAGTCTGAATAAAAAATTTAAGATGATGACTGTATTCTAAGAATCTTTTCGTGGAGTTTTTCAAAGCAGATATGCTGAACATAGCTCCTAACATTTTATGGCCTAGAGTCCTCTGTATTCCCCTAACTAATGAAATGCTGTTTTGTATTTGGGTGATTTATAGTTTCAGAGCACTTTGAAAATACATTAAATGTTCCACAATAAGTCATAATACTGTTATAAGAAAGGCTGTATACGCAGTCAATTTTCTTTTCTTTGTTATTAGAATTTTCCCCCTTAACTCTGTCTCCTACACTTCCTTTCTAAGGGGAGAAAGCTAAAGGGACAGTCGGAACATGGGATTTAAAGGGTATTTTCATCGTGCAGATCAGGCAGTGGGTGCAACTGCAGCATGAACTGAGTCTTGCACATAAAGGAAGAAAGAGAAAGAAAAAGTTGGAATTTTTTAAAAAAGAATTTTATATTTTTATCTATATTCCTTATTGTTTTAATATACTAAAATGCTCTCTTTCCAAAAAATTTGCATTCACCCAAGGCAGAGAAGTTTTTATCAAACCATTATACTTATTGAATCATCATCTCCTATTCCTAATACAAATGATAAAATATGTTTCCATCCTTTATATGCTGTGGGCCAGAGTATGTCTCCAGAAAGGAGAATGGCAGTCAAGTTGGTACAGATTTTCAGTTACAAATTTATGAGAAATAGGAAATTCTGAAAACAAAGAGTTCATATGAAAAAATTCTAATTCTAGTCATCGTTTGTTCATATCTTATCTCAAAATATTTAAATATACTGCATTTTGTGATATGATTATGATATAATAATGTCATGATATAGAGTATACGATATATAGTTACTTATGCTATAAATGCGGTATATTTAGAGATTTTTAAGATTTGGCAGGCATAGAAGACTTTTTTCATAAGGATGAAATTTTTTTCATAAGGATGAGCTCTTCAGTTTCACAGTTTTCTATTTATTATAAATTTGTGATTTAAAATCCTATATCAGCATATAGGAGCATCATTTTAATGCGCTCAAGCTGTTCCCTTTTCTGTTTCTAACAGGGCCATCATCTGAGCAGATACAGGCAGTAAGCCTGTTCATTGCACAGTCATATCCTCCCAGTGTAGATGGTAGTTTTCTTAAACTTTTTCACTGATTCAAAATAATGTCCTATAAAGCCTGGTAGTTATTTTGGGTTATACCTTAGGAGAGTGGATTCCTTAGAATTGGTGATTTTCAGTGTGGTCCCCATGACCACTGTATTAGAACCACAAGGAGGTTTATTAAAACCACAAGTTCCTAGGCCATATTCCAAATCTCTGGAATAAAATTCTCTGGCTGGAGCCTAGGAATTGACTTTTTTTTCTTCTTTTTTTTTTTTAACCCTCACCCGAGAATATGTTTTTTATTGATTTTGGAGATAGGGAAAGGGGGTGGGGGGAGAGAGAGCGAGAGAGACAGACAGACAGACAGACAGACATTGATGTGAAAGAAACATCTATGGGTTGCCTTCCCGTATGCGCCCTGACTGGGGCTTGAACCTGCCACCTTTTGGTGTACAGGATGACACTCCAACCTATTGAGCCACCTGGCCTTGGCAGGAATTATTTTTAATAAGCAGCTCAAATGCTTCTTAGGCCCACTACAGTCTGAAACTAACGTTCCTGGATTGAGGATTTTTGCATTTAAATATTTTTTTCTTACACTTTTATTCTTTTTAGTTTCCAACTTAGAATGCTTACCCTGAATTTATTATGAGAGTATTTAATTACATACATTGATAAACTAGTCATTGAATTCTAGGCATACTTTAAAAATTGTAAAAGAGCAATAAATCCATTTCCCATAACTAATTCATTAGTTTTAATTTCACTTGCTTGGGTGGTGGCAGGAGTAGCGGGTAGCCAGCTCTTTTTATGAACCTCACCAGTAGCAGACATGGAAGGGACCCATTTGAGCAGGAAGTGAATAGAAATCAATAGGAAGGTAAAACCAAGTCAGACTCTTTTTAGAATAACAAAGGGTCTTCTTTTGAGAACAGTGGGAAAATAATCACTAGAAGTATATTTGATTGACGGGTATGTTATGGGTTAGAATTCTTATAGCTCATGTTTCAGGAATGTTCTAAGTGGTTTAAAAATAATATTCACCACCTAATTATAATTGGTCTTATGCCAAGTCCTTTATAAGACACTTCATGGTAGTGCCCTGCCATGGGGAACTTTAGGTGTAATATTAGTGGTAGTGTGACGAATAAACTAGAATAAGTGAACCCAATGTAGGTAACCTAGGCAGCTAAGTATTAGTCACATACACAAGAGACTAATGCAAAGAAAGAAGCTAGGATGTACAATACTGTCCCTTCTGAATGTTTGGGAAGGGCTCGTAGAAAAAAATGGAGTTTCCAGAAGTTTCTTAATGGGCAGAGGGAGCAGTTGGAAGTGGTAGGAGAGTGTTGACACTTAAGAGTTGAATTGGGAGGTCACAGACAGTGAAAGGAAGACTATGGCTACATGAGGCATAGATGAAAGCCTTCCAGTACCGAAGCCAGGAGACTGGAGGGAATTTTTCAGCAGGGCATTGAGAATACAAGCGGCCCTGCACCGTGGCACTTCTAGTGTGGTTGCTGGGTGGAGGGAACAAATGGGTGCAGTGTCCCAGCGAAGGAGCACCCAGACCTCAGTGAATCACTGCATTCAAAGGCCAGAATAAAAGGACAGGATGAATATAAGTTAAAGAAGCGACCACATACAGATAAAATATAAGAAAGAAGAAAAGGTTGGTTTTTCACCCTTATAATGATAAACCATACATGATTAGAGATACTATTACTAAATGGAGAGCTTAGGAAGGCTTAATAATGTTCTGAATGTACATGTGGGCTGTACAGAAGAGTAGGCACCTGTGAGGGGACGTATGGGGAGGCGGTCCACAGATGCCGCAGGATAAAGAACAGCAGTGTGTAAAGAGTGCCCGTTCAAATCATGGGCTAAGAAGAAGGTGTGGAAATTGGTGATGCATAGTAAATACACTCAAGCATCTCTTTAATCAAAAAGTTCCCTGGGTAAGAAAAGATTTTCCCGTGGCCCATAGAGCAGCTCTCTTCTTAAATATTCATTACAACAAACCTTCCCCATAAAATAAAAATATCTTGAATAATCCCTTGACATGTGCTATAATGGTATTTGACCTGTAATAACAAAGCAGAAGGGACAGAGGAAGTGGGATTATATCTATAGTGTTGGTATGTGAGCTATCCAGAACTTCACAGCAGTAGATCTACTCAATTCCAGACTTGTCTGATTGAGGATTATCCGTGTTCACTTTTTCCCCCTCTTCCGAAGGCTTAACTTTGTTCCTGAGAAAGGGAGGAAGTACAGTCAATTTCCTCCCTAGTTAGAAGTGCCTGTAAAGGATTTGATTGGTGAGAAGATTAGAAACTGGATGAAGTTTCAGACTTATCTGTGGATTTCATTTAAGGGAGACTTTCCTGTTTTCCGTGGATGATCAAAATTTGCCTGGGTGTTAGAACCTGGAGTTAAGGTAGCTCTATCATAAGTATAAGGGGATTTTCTAAGGCTTTATGCTAATGTTTCTCTCATTTCTGCAGATGGTGCTTGGCAGTTTTCATTTAATGTGAAATTTTACCCACCAGACCCCGCCCAGCTATCTGAAGATATCACCAGGTACTTGGCTGTAAAAAGGCAGGCTTCTTGGGAAAGTTGTGCTTCTCTTAAATTCTCCAGAAAAGAGCATGCTTACATTTGGTGACCTTATAATCATCCACAAATGGCAAACAACAGGCAACTGAATGAGAGCAAACATCTGATGAAAAGATCTGCCAAATCATAACTGTTCGTAGTTGAATCTTTGGTGCTAAGCCCATACTTCCCTCTGCCTGACCCTGGTGGGAAGACATGCAAAATTGAGATACTGTCATCCACCCACCACAGCCAAATTGGACGGGATTCAGCCTTAAATGATATAACCATTCTTAGTGCTCATGCTTCAAAACTTAGAGTAAAAAATGTGTCTTTGGATGCTTATGCTTTTTATATAACCAATCTGGTACTTGACAGCCCTTAAAAAAAAGAAATCAGGCATACCTACACACATGTACATATGCAGATAAACATAAACACATGTACACTTAAGAGTTTATTTTCCATGACCTAAAAGAGAAATGGTTAATTCCTTTTCACAAAAGAAGACATTAGGACAGGAATCCAGTAAAGCTATCCTGGCGTGGTAACTGGGCTCTGAGTGTGAGAAGGTCCCTCTATGAAATGGTCCCGGGTGCGATGCGCATCCTCGGCTTCTCTGCGTCCCACTTCGGATCCGACTCTCACTGTTTGGTAGTAAGTTCAGAGCCAGCCAGAGCGGTTTTGTGCAGTGTGTGCTGAATCTTCTGTGTAAACCTCACCTCTGTGGGAGGCTTTTCAGAATAGGAAAATTACTCAGAAAGCTTCACTCTCTTGCTATGATTAAAAATAACTTAAGAGACATTTTAGGTAAAGGAGAGAAACTACTCCAGAGTATTTATTCTATGATTGCATTAAATTGGAAAATTTATAATTTCTTATTTTAAAATACTCCTGAATAATCTTGAGAACTATTCAGTGGTGGCTAATTTATGTCTGTGGAGCCTGTACACACCTGGGTTTGTAATTTAGTGCATGGTTGACTTATATCTACTGGTATAATGTGTGTAAAGCCCATAAAGTAATTAGACATTTTTACATCTGAATTACATGGAGTTTGCTTATATCATTAGCTTAAAGTCATATTTAGAGGGACCTTAAGACTTTTTCCTAGTCCTCAGCTTCATATTAGCAATTTATTTCTCATATGAAAGTTACAAGGTGTATTTTATTATTATACCTGTATGCTGGGCCATGAAAGATATTAAACTTATCAATGGCAACACTTCCCTGGGAATCTTCAACAATTAGTTTTATATCTGTAAACCTTAAAAGCAAAATAACAAAGGAGATAGGTCAGCTATTAATGGAAATATTTTTATGTTATCTTGACAGAATTATTTGGAAAATGTTTTATAGTCCCCAAATCTAAAACTGTTTACTTATACTGATGAGATTCTGAGTTCTTAAGGTAGTAGTTCTTCAGTTAGTCTTCATATTAGTTGGGTCCTAGGAAATTATCTTTAAAAAATAAGAAGTTGAAACCGTTAATATCAAGAGACTACCTCACCAGGAATGTAGGAAATTGAGAGCAAAGTTTACAATGGCATAGCTGTTGAGTTACCTGAAATTTGTCTCAGTCATATGGCAAAATATCAAAATAAGATTTCCTTAAGTTTAGCTGGGACTTAATAATTATATTTAAGAACACCATTTTTATATTATAATACCCCCCACACACACACACACACACAACCAAAGGTTTCAGGGAATGTGCTAGGGACTATTCATTTGATTTTAAATGTTACTTTAAAAGATGTTAGAAGAGTATGTCTTTAGGTTTTTTACCATGTGCTTTATTAATAAAACCCTATTTTATTATGAACATTGACTTGTCCTTAGATGCCCTTAAATATTATGTTTTTGTGGCCAAGTATTTTCTCTTAATATCCTCATCAAAATATAGATGCTAGAAAATGTGTCCTTGTGTGATTGATTATCCGATCGGGAGAAATTGCCTATCCAGCAATATGTGCTGAGTGGTCTCCTTTTCCGGTGTCCCAATGCTGGCTTTCTGCTTTGTCCTCTTGGTTACCGGAAGGTACTACCTCTGCTTACAACTGCGAGATGACATCGTGTCTGGGAGGCTGCCCTGCTCCTTTGTCACCCTTGCCCTGTTGGGCTCCTACACTGTCCAGTCAGAACTTGGAGACTATGACCCTGATGAATGTGGAAATGATTACATTAGTGAGTTCCGCTTTGCACCCAATCACACTAAAGAACTGGAAGATAAAGTGATCGAGCTGCACAAGAGTCACAGGTTAGTGGCAGAAGCCTGAGAACAGTCCATTTAATAAGTTGGGCCTTGATGAGTGAGCGTCCCTTTCTCTCCGCACTTTTCCCAGAACTGACGTTGGTGTTTTGTGGGTGGGACTTTAGTAGAGTAGGGGTCTGCACTGGCTGGTACAGTTCTGGGATAGTTAGGTTCTTGCTTAGAATGTCTATTTGTAAGGTTTTCTTTAAAAGCCATCTTATTCTTTTTCTTCCCTCAGATACAGATCTGCTGGGCCTCTGTGGGGGCTTGCTTATTAGGTAGCAGGGGGGCTAAGTAGGAAACATTTCAGCTTCGCCAGGTAAAAGCAGAGCAGCATTGTAACTCTTTCTTTCTTATCAGAGGAATGACGCCAGCAGAAGCCGAGATGCATTTCTTGGAAAATGCCAAAAAATTATCCATGTATGGGGTAGATTTACATCATGCCAAGGTATGCATTTCTTAACCCCCAAACTTTTTATTTAGTTTTATTTAATTCAGTGCTGTTATTGCTATAAGCTCGTGATTTTTACTTCAGTGCATGTAACCCAAAACTTTGGGCATTCAAATCTGCGTTTGCTCTTTAAGGCCTGTCCAATGATAAAGCACATTTCGTGCCGATATTTCACTGAGGGGTTGGCTCAAACTCACAGGACTCGCGGTCTGAGCCTCTGATTGCCTGTTGATTCAATTGGAACTTTTTATCTTTACCTAACACGCTCTGAGCTCGCCCTGCCTTTCCTGTCTCAGTTGTATCTCCCACTTTGTGCTGACACATGCCCTTTGCTCCTGCCAAACCCTGTCTCTGGCCTTTGCCTGAATGTGCTCATTTTTGCCTGCACTGTCCTGCTCCTTTCTGTCTGTCTGTCTGTCTGTCTGTCTGTCTAAACTTGGCTGATTGTCCAAGACCCAGTTGTCACATCTACTTTGTGTGAAGTACTGCCTGTGGCTCTGTTCTGATTTCCCACCAGACACAGTAAATTCATGTGAAGTTTAAATAACACCATGCAGTTGAGGTATTTTGACAAATAGCCAGTCCTTTGAAATAAGATTGTTATTTTTGCAGTTCAACTAGAATTAACCACCCAGGCTAAGGCTCGCCTGGTTCTTGGCAATTGTGAAATGTTAAAGTTGTGCCTTGGCTATTTAGTCTTGGGAAGAAGGAAGTTGGGACCAGCCGTGGGCAAACTACGGCCCTCGGGCCGGATCCGGCCCATTTGAAATGAATAAAACTAAAAAAAAAAAAAGACTGTACCCTTTTATGTAATGATGTTTACTTTGAATTTATATTAGTTCACACAAACACTCCATCCATGCTTTTGTTCCGGCCCCCCGGTCAGTTTAAGAACTCATTGTGGCCCTCGAGTCAAAAAGTTTGCCCACCCCTGGATTAGACTGTATGAGGGGGAGATTGTAAGGATGCCTAAAGCAGCTTTTACTCCATGTCATCCTTTTTCTAGAATCTGTATTTTTCAGCAGTGAGAGAATGAGTGCATGGACTATTAGTCTGTTACTTGAACAGCTGTGAATAAAGAACTGTAGCAGTAAAGGCAAGCTTTCATGAAAACTGTTATCATCAAAACTTGAGAAATTTGTTAGGATCTTAGGGGTGGATTCTGGTACTTCAGCAGTGTTGAAAGATCTCTGACAAGGTAACATTGCTCCGGTTATGGGATGTGCCTTTACTTCTAATACACAGAGTAGCCACCAATTTCACGATCTGGGACTCACAGGAAGTTAACAGGCTTCTAGTCAAGGGAGTATCTTACACAGTCAAGTTCAGGGCCAAGGCATGAAGAGCATTTCAGCTGGCTCTGTTCAGGCAAACAGCTCAACAACCCTGAGTCCCATGGGAGGGAAATCTATGGTCTGTAGGTTCTGTTGATGCTACAGGTGGGCTGCTTCCTGGATGGCGTTTGGACCAGAAAATGGTGGCCACTGAGTGAACGCAGGTTTGACTGGTTATGACTGTGACCGTTGTGCCCCTCAGACAGGATGTGGACTTCCAAGGGCTGAAGGCCTGAGCACTAAGCAGCATGATCTCCGAGGGTTGGCGGCCTTATCCCAGGGCTGGGTTGGTGCATCGTGCCAGGCTCTTTGACATTTGTGTGTAATTAGCAGGTCTGGCTCTATTTACCTTCCAGTTTATTAGGTTTTCTCGCCTATTTTGTAGTCAGAGAACAAAGGCGTTTTATAGTTTATGCCAGGTATAAGGCAGGATGAGAATTTAAAAAGAAAATAAGGACACACACACTAGTAAGATGTTATCTTAAGAGTTTTTCCTTAGGTGACTAAAAGATAAGGAAACAAGAAGGAAATGAAGGTTGCCTGAAAATGTGAGTGGATCGAAAGCTATTTTTTGAATTACATTGCACATGATGATTCACTTGCTGCCCAGGAAAAATAAATAAATGAGAGATTAGGGCATGCTTTTAGGGAAGTGCAGCTCGGGATGTATCCGTGTTCCCATCAGTGAAAATAAAATCACTTAACGTTGCTCTAGCTACTGAATTAAAATGGATAGCTGCAATAATATGATTTGAATTTATGCCAATTAAAAAAAGAAAGAATTAAGGAAGTGCAAATGCAGCCCGTAGAAGGATTTCATCTGAATATTAAGTATAACAAATGATTTGGTTATGGACTCCATTTTCTCATGCAGCCACACTCTATCATTTTAAGAAGGAAAATTACTGAATTAAATTAGAGCTCATTTCCAGTCATCACTGGATGGCATAAAAGACCCTGAGCTGTAGGATCTGTTTAGAAAGTCTGAATTGCGATCTCTAACTCAAAGCTCTGTATAAAGAATAAAATACCCGTATTAGCTGGAGGTTCCTTGTTTGGGAAAACCTGTTCTAAATGCTTTGTTTTCTTCTTAGGAAGACTCTCTCTGCTTGTTTGTCAGCTAATGTCTGTCTGAATAGGCTCTGTGAGAGTCATTTATTTCATAGAAGATTCTAAAATGTAGGTATAAATCCACATCAGATATCCCATGGACCAAGTGATAATGAAGGAAGGCAAAGTTTAAACAGTGATTTGAAATTAAGGGAACAGCGTGCACATTTATTTTAATTACAGTAGACTGAGCCTATCCAGGTCTTCCTTCGGTACTCCCTGCTAAAAGGAGCATTAAATGTGATCGTTGGTAGGGAAACACACATGTCCCCAAGATAGGCTGCCAAACGAGCTTTCAATACACAGTTAGGGCTGTGGCCGAAAACTTGAGAAAAAAGGTATCTTTTTTTTTTTTGCTTTATGATTAACATAATGAAGACCACCATGCAATTTAAAACGCCACTTACCTGATATTGTCTTTCTTCATTTGCCAAACGTGTAATGGCTTAATTAACCCATGCTAGGCAGGCACTAGCTATGACCACGTGGCTGCAGAGATTAAATTGAGCTCTTGCTCTCAACCAGCTGTGGTCTTAAGGAGAAGGCAGGTAGGTGGGAGTTGACTGCAGTACCTTTGCTGGGGGCGTGCTGATACAACAGAGTGATATGGGGACACAGAGCAGTTCATGCTGGAGGGTACAGGAGAACAGTGCGGGGCAAAGGAGCCTTCCCGATCTTCCCCAGGAAAGGATGCTGTTTTCTTTGATGGAAAGACACTGATGAGAGATTTAAAAATAGATAAAATACTGAAAAATGTTTGAAATGTCCTTTCCCTCTTTAGCTCAAAGGCATCTTTTCTAAACTTTTATGTTCTTTACCAAAAAGAAAGAGAATCAAAGAGCAGTTACTCAGGCCTGCATTTGTAGTCATGGCGTGAGGTGGTCACCTCTGAGCTGTCGTGTGAGCAGATGGGCTGGGTCTGAAGGCTCAGTAATGCCAGGGACTCGTCAGCATCAGGTTATAGCTCTTTGAATTGCTCTTTCACATTAAAGCCCATGGTAGGTGGTGGACAGTTTCTGGACTTGGAGGCCTCAGGTTTTATGTCCTGCCATCAAGTGTTTCCACGCCTGTAATTTCACACCTAATGGATCGATAGATTTCAAAGGTAAAATGTTTTCTTTTAAACCAATTATAAACATATATGACCAGAGATGGACTGAAATACTTACTTTTTGCTTCTGGAAATGTTCATGTTGGACCTTGCACTGACAGGATTTAGGCAGTAAATTCCCACAATATGGACGAGTCAGAATCTCCTATTTGGGTTCTGCCATTTTCCTCTCTGCGGCTGCAGAGTGACTCAAAGTTGGGGGCAGCCCTGCTGATTAAGGTGACAAAAGACCCCAGCTTCTTCCCCCCACCCCATGTACCCCCTACTCCCAACAACATCGAGGCAGGGTGGAGACTGCGCCTCACACGCAGTCCTGCCTCTGTCCTTCGTTTTCACTCCACTCGGGTCACCACAGATGTTCATTTTACATGGATTTCCCCCTGAATACAATGCTGAGGGGGCATAGACTACGCGTGGTGTGTCTCTTAAACTTTATATAACATCTCTGATGACCTCGGGGACCTCTGGGCATCACATACCCCTAGGAAATGACCTAAATGTGAAAAGTACAAATAACAAAGCAAATTGCAAATGTAGCATGATCCCACCTTTGTTATAAAAGACTATACACATATATAAAAATCTATCCATATTTATGTGAATCATATTGTTAAGTGTGCTTACCACTGGGCAGTGTGTGTGTTGGGGCCTGTTGGGGAAGTGCAGTACATACTTAAGAGAAAAACAACACTATTTTATATTTAAATTTTACTCTGGCAATAATGGTATATAAAAAAGATTGAGGCTCTTTTTAAAGGAACAAACTCCAAAACACTCATAAGAAAGGATAGGGCCCCTCTCTTAGTGTACATATTGGTTAAGAGTGCTGCCTCTGTAACCAGGCTGCTCACATTCAACTGGGAAAGATACGTAACCGCTCTGTGGCTCAGTTTCCTCATCTGTAAAGTGGGAAGAATAATAGCAACTATCTCAAAATATCCTAGTGAATATTAAAAGGGTTAATATATGTAAAGTATTAGGGCAGTGCTTGGCACTCAATAACCGAGAACTGCGGCCGTTATTTGTGTGACTAACACACCTTCATCGGTTTGGCCTGTTCTATGTGCAGTATTTCTGGATATCCTGGATACCTGGGTGAGCAGGCTTTACTCTAATAAATCTCCACAGTGATAAATATCTTCATTTGGAGGCTGTTATTTAATGGCAATGTTTAAAAATGGCTGCAGTATTTTTCTTACTTAAATTAGACCTACAGGTAGTCAATTATAGATTCTGTTATGGAGGCTTAAATATTGTACCCAGCCGTAAGTGGAAACAAATGAGATACTGATCCTTTGTCTCTTGCTTCTATTTTCCAGGATTCTGAAGGAGTAGAAATTATGTTAGGCGTTTGTGCGAGTGGTCTGTTGATATATCGTGACCGGCTGCGGATAAATAGATTTGCCTGGCCCAAGGTTCTAAAAATCTCATACAAACGGAACAACTTCTACATTAAGATCCGCCCGGGTGAGGTAAGTAGACCCAAATTTGCATGTACATTGAGAAAAAAGGAACCTGATAGCAAACAAATATGTAAATGACCTGCTCACAAGTTCTCAGCATCTCAGGACATGGTTGGTGAGTTATGTCTAAATGCCTAAGAGGATTTATTGTAGGTTCGTCCAACAAATAGGTAGAAACAAGTGTTCCTTTTTTTTCCAGTTTTTCCCATAGCATACATTAATTGAAATTACTGTTTTTACATATTTTATTTTATTTTTTATTTTTTTAAAAATATATTTTATTGAATTTTTACAGAGAGGAAGGGAGAGAGATAGAGAGTTAGAAACATCGATGAGAGAGAAAGATCGATCAGCTGCCTCCTGCACATCTCCTACTGGGGATGTGCTCGCAACCCAGGTACATGCCCTTGATCGGAATTGAACCTGGGACCCTTCAGTCCGCAGGCCGACGCTCTATCCACTGAGCCAAACCGGTTTCGGCTGTTTTTACATATTTTAATGTAAAACCCAGATTCATGAATAATGTTCTGTATATTTCAAGCTGTGGTATAAATGAAAGTCTAAGTCATTAAACCTCTTCATGAATGAAAGATTTCTCCCTACCAGTTCTATTGTTGTCTCTATGCTCCCTTTCTCTCTGTCTTCCAAATCTGACAGCATCTTTTTTTAAATTATATTTTTATTGATTTGGGAGAGAGAGAGAGAAATATCAATGAGAAAAAAGCATCATCGATCAGCTGCCTCCTGCACCCCTCACCCCCACCAGGGATAGAGCCTGCAACCCAGGCATGTGCCCTGACTGGAATCGAGCCAATGACCTCTTGGTGCATGAGTCGATGCTCAACCACTGAACCACAACTGCCAGGCAATCTGATAGCATCTTAAGGTGGATAGTTTAGAGATAATGTGCAACAAGGTACAAGAAAGATTAGAATGAGGGACACAGAGTGTAAATTATGTAAATGTTCCACAACCTAATATATTTTCACCTTTTTTTTTAAATCAGAGAAGTAATGAGTCAAAATTGTTAACTAATCCTTATTCCTTGGACAACAGCATCTATGATCAACATATTTGTATTATCCTTAGTGGTTTGTACATAATAGGTAGTAAGTACCTGCTGTATCTGGTTAATAGATAATTAATAAATATATCCATTTCTGATCAGTATGATTAACATAATGGAAGCAAAGCTCTAAGATTGCAGTTCATTTATGTCTCGGAACATTTTCTGGCATAATCTAGAATTATATCCTGTCTTCAAAATCAGCCTACCCACTGGTGGAAAATACAATTAAAATATCAGACTACAAAGCAAGCAATAATGTGTAGTGTATATAAAGTCATCCTTGTTTCTGAAGACTGAAATAATCTGTAAGCTTTTCACGTAAACACCCGCAATTATAGTAATATTAAAAATATTTCCTAAAGATTGCATGTTATACTTATAACTGATAAATGTTCATTTGGATTAATTAAACATAAGCAAGCATCTGTTTATTGCTAGGTAACATGTTGGGCATTGGAAATAGAAACATAAATATGAATTTGTCCCTGTCCTTAAGGGACTTTATATTTGGCACAGAAACAGACTCGCACACTTGGAACTATGTCATGATACAGATGAGATGATATCCGATGGACATGGAGTGAACACAGTTGTGAGAGGCCAGCAGGGAATAGTGGAGAAGTGCATCAGTAGACAGTAGTGAGCCGTGAAAGGTTTTAAATTAGGGCGTGTCATAACTAGATGAACACTTGAGAATGATGGGTTTCTTAATGAATTAATCTGCTTCGTAATGTGATGTGATAAGACCTAAACTGGAGCAGAGGCTCTGGGAATAGAATGGAAGGGGCACATTTGAGACAGATTTCAGAGGCAGAACAGGACATTTTGGAGACAGGATGGGGGAAGGATAAAGAGGAGAGTCCGGGATGATCAGTCTCTCAGTTTGCACAAGAGAAGGCAATGGAGATGATATTATAGATGAGAGGAAGGGGGGGGTGAATTTAAGGAAAAAGATTGAAATTCCTTTGCGACAGATTTTCAGGGGGTAATTCTTACCTAGTAAGAAATATAGGACTTGAACAGAGACATCAGCTGTATACATTTTAATCAGGGCCTTAGACATGGAATAAATTACCCAAAGAACAAGAGAACTTAAAGAGGAAAAAAGAGAGAGAGACCCTATAACAAAAAATCTGGGTAAGACCACTTTTTGAGAGAGGTAGGCCAAAGAGGAACACCGGGAGATTAACAGCCAGAGAAAGGAACAAAGGACAAAAACAGTCACAGATGACAGCGAGACGAGATTCAGGGGACGTGGTTAACTGGCAGTGCCAAATGTTACAGAGAAGGTGCAGGTAAGAACTAAGAAAATTTCATCGCAGTTGACAGGTCCTGTTGTGACATTTAAGAGTCCAGGAAGGAGTTGGGAGCCCCTGGCAGGTTGCAGTGAGGTAAGGAGTGAAGGAGCTGAGGCTTCTCCATCAGGACGTGTAGCGTGAGGAGTGAGAAGATTCTGGCTCAGCAGAAACAGGCTCAAAGGAAGTTGTTTCCCTCCCTTTTTTATAATCATATTTATAGGCTGAGAAGAATGAGTGAGAAGAAATTATTGGTAGCCCGAAGACTCTGAAGAGGTTGCAATAAATAGAATACAAAGCACCTCGAGCTAGATAAACATTTTAAAAGTCTAGCGCCTCTATTATCTTGAGAGAATCTCCCCAGCTTCTTACATGAGCAAGTTGATGCTTTTTTTTTAAACCCCTGACCTTTGCATAATGCATGGCACACATTAGAGGCAGGATGAGTAAATGGGGGATGGTTGAGATACAATCCACAGTACTAGGTTTGTCAGTCGACTGGGTCCATTGGACAGTGGTGATTTTCATGACCACCACTGCACATGAACTTCCAGAGGGAATAAGAAATTGGGAAAGGCAGCTGCAGTTAAAGCAACCTGGATGTGTTTCCCAGTCTCTCCCCTGCCCAGTCCCTCTCAACAAACAAGAAATAGAAGTCAAGCATAAGTGTATCTCACACGCCATGCAGAGGAGCCCTCTCCTTGGTTCTTTGCCACGTAAATGGCTTTTGCTATTGATTATGTCAATAGTCAGGAGGTTCTGTGCTCTTTGGAAAAGGCTTTATTGTTTAAGATGATTGCCCTCTGGTGGCCTGATGCATACTGTCCTCAGAGAATAAAAAATTAATGAGTAGCTGCAATGATATTAAAATAATTACTCGGGAAATCAGATATTCCACCTTGGAAAATCATATGACTGATAGAGTATCACCTGAACTATAAATGCTAAGTAATATGAAAATGTGTTCTCCAAATCCCTGATCTTATATATAATATCGAGAGATGTTACCATTTAGCATGATAATCCATACTATAATGCACAGATAACATCAGCAATACCTGATACCAAGTCATCAAATACCTAGGATATGTGCATATTTCCAGACCAGATATTAGGAGAAAATGTCACTCTGAGAATGCTATAGACTTTAAACCTTTTGTTCATTTCTGTATCTTCCATTTGAAGTCATGATGTCATGGAAGAAACAATGAAAATTAGGCTTACATATGAGATCAGGACAAGTTGGTCTCTGGAAGGAATCCAAATATCCTTGTTTGCATTTAGTTTTCGTAAGATCCATACTGATACATAAAACATCTACCATATGCATAATGTAGTTGTCTATCCCCGCAGCATTTTAAGGAGATAGATAGTAGATATAAGGAGGTTTTTTTTCCTTTTTAATGAATGCATGTATATAGCATGAATTCCACATAGAGCAATTGATTTAGTAAGTAAAGAGTTGTGAGTGGTATTTTGATTTTTAAAATTATTTGCTTTTCTGTTACTTGTCATTTTAAACTTGATTCTACTCTTCAATGTTTTCTAAATGTAGTTTGAACAATTTGAAAGTACCATTGGGTTTAAACTGCCAAACCATCGAGCTGCCAAGCGTTTATGGAAAGTGTGTGTTGAGCACCATACATTTTTCAGGTAGGTAGAGATCAATTTGCTTTTTTCCTAAGGAAAAAAAATAGAGTGCCTGGCATTACTTATACTGAAAAAGATTGTTGGGAAGAAGAATGTGGAAGCATAGCCTTTCTAAAGTTCCTTCAAGCTCATTGTCACGAGATTTCTTAATAAGAAATCCTAAAAGAACTTCTGACTAAATTTGAATAGGTTTCCTTCATTTGTACTATATTGATCTGCTCCATCTCCTCTTTATTATCTTTAGTACCTTTTCATTATTTTTGCAGGATGTCTACTTCAAGTGTTCAATCCGTTTCTTACTATTTCAGTAATTTCTCAATACCTGACTAATTAGGGCCATTAGATTTGTGTCTGTACAATAACAAATTATCACTGTCCTTCCCTACCATCACCTACTTAATTACTCTTGGGGCTTATAGAACCACAGACTCTCCAGTTACAGGGGATGTTAAAATCTGCTAGTCCAACCCAACTCCCATTTTGATTATAGCCTCGATAATATCCCTAGTTGATATGTACTGTGTCAATTTTTTTTCTTATAAAATCAGATTTATTTCATTGCATTTGGGCGTTGATCCTTTAGTACACAAAGCACTTTACCTTTCAGAACAGAGTAAAAGGGTAGCATTCTCAATATTTGATTTACTATTCTTTCTGGTGTGTTTTTTCTTCACTATCTTTAGATTGTTGTTACCAGAAGCACCTCCAAAGAAATTCCTTACCTTGGGCTCCAAGTTCCGTTATAGCGGCAGAACGCAAGCCCAAACCAGAAGAGCCAGCGCACTGATAGATCGTCCAGCCCCTTACTTTGAACGCTCCTCCAGCAAACGTTACACCATGTCTCGCAGCTTGGATGGAGGTAGGCATCCCTACCCTGAATACTCTCTAGTGGCTGCCCACTATGGTGAAGCCATCGTGAGCTGTCAGTGAACATAGATCCTCTTGGGTAGTAGGAAATGGAAAGCATTTTCTTCCTGGTCTGTGGCTGACTGGCAAGTTTTAACCATACATCCTCAAAAACATGTGCCTTTGTGAGTAATGTCTGTGACTTTAGATTTATGTAAGATTACATGGATAACGAAGAGCATAACTTTCTTAAGCTGGTAACCTGAATTTGGAGAAAGGTTCTCTCGTTCTAAATATGGTAGTCACATACTCTGTAAGGAATCTGGTTTCCTTGCCAACGGATCTTAAATGATTGTCAAGTTTGTCTTAGACGGTTTGTTTCAGAAAGAAAACTCTAAGTTAAATGTATCCCTGTTTCTAAAAAAGAAATTATGAATAAAATGTGACTCATCAGTCGGTAAATAATAGCTTCTAGAAAGGATGACAGTCAGATAACAGAGCAAAGGGCTGTAAATTAAATCCTCCTGACGGACTGGGAGAGCATTGTCTATAGATGTTGTCTACTGTTAAGTCAAATGTGTAAGTAAAACAGGGAGAAAATTGCCTAAATAACATGTTTAAGGAATGGCATAATCATGAGTTTTCCGCAGGTTTTGTTTTATGGGATGGTTTTGTATTGTATCTATAGTTACACGCAGATGTGCTCTCTGCTACAAGACTTGGCAGCTAGAGGAATACTTAACTAGGAACTGAGCCCTGGCCAGGCCTCCTCTTCTCATTCCAAGCACCTGGAGATTAGTTGTTTTACGAAAGACATAGCCTGTGCGCATAAAGAATGAGACGTTTCTGGCATTTGTGTACGATTTTAATAATAAGCACAAGCATAAATAAAAAATAAGTAAACGTTACAAGTGCCTGGGATCACCTTCTTCCCTACCATCCTGCCTCTGCTCACCACAGCTCATGACACCCCAGTGTGGTTGGTGGGGTGACAGACCCCCTGAATCCCCTGATGAAAAAGACTGTATTTTCCTAATGGATGACGTTATATACAGTTTATAGAAGAAGCAAAAATTGTGTTGTTAGTGCTATGTTACATATGTGGAAAAAACACTCACCTGGTGTAGGTAAATCCAGACTGAAGTCCAGTTCCTCTACCTGCACAGTAGTTGGTGAATGACAAACTCTCCCTGTCTGGTTTTTACTCATCATCCATAAAATGGGAGTCAGGCCACCTCTGACAGGGTTGTTGCAAGACTGAATAAGACATACATCAGAGCACTGTTGCTATGGATGTAATTAAAATTATCCCAAAAATTATATTGATAATTATCCTACAGGCTTTTGTGAGGCAGCCTAGAAAGTTATTACCATTTGGTATCTTTTAAGAGTTTGCTTTTTTCAGAATATCTAACTTAGAGCCATACTTTTAGAATAAAATGTTGATTAGGACTGTTTCAGGTTGGATTAAGACACTCATATATCCATGTTAACATTGAAGCTTTTCTTTGGCATTGTCTCACTTACTCTTCTTTCTCCTTTAGAGAATCTCTGTAAACTGTATTTTATAAGTCATTGTTAAAGGAGCTTTTGTAGAATCACCCCTTTTCCCCCAAATACCATCCTCTTTGTTCAGTGATGTGTACCCAAGGGAACACATGTGTTATGAATGTTGTTTGCCTCATGACCTTTTGTGTGATAATGATTACTGAGAAGACAGAAGACAATTGTGCAATAAATATACTAATATCATGCTGTCTCTTCCTCCCTGCCCAAAAGTGATGTTAGTATGTGTTGTCTCTCACTCTTTGGGGTTCTGTCAATTCTAGTGTGTTTTCTTGGCTGCTGAGCTGGGGGCCATGGCTGCATGTGGGCATAAAAACTGCTTTTTGCAAAGTTGCAACTTCTATGGAGCCTAGCTGGCCCATTGGAAACTATATCATATGAGCTTTTTCATCAGTACAACAAGATATAAAATATCTTAGTGAAGGTATTGTCGTGAAATGATTTACTATTAAAAGGATTTCAGAATATTTTCTTACTTTTATAGAAATATGAAACCAGATTATATTTTGCCTGTGATTAGCTACTATGTGTTTGAAAAACAGCATTTATAACTTTCTGAAATATGGCATTTAAACCTAAAATAATGAGTATCAAATTTTAAAAATTTAATTGTTGTAAGCATCTCTTTCACTAAGACATTTCAGCTGAGATGAAAGGCTGTATCATATCTTTTATGTCTGCATGCTTTGCCTTTGCATGAATTTCATTAACAATGTTTGTGTCATTTTCACCAAATATTAGAGATGAATAAATGCACGCATATCATGGTAGATATGTGTGCATATGTTTTTTTAAAGTGCAGTAGAAATTAAAACATTTCTGCGCTTCAGTTATGGAGTTGCCATTGGAACTTTATAATTTCTGCCAAGATGGTTAATTTTGATTATTACCCTTGTGACTTTTATACTATAGGAAACTTTTCAGGCATTATTAATAATAACAGGGTGGGTGTTTTTTTTTTTTTTATTTCAGTGCTCCTTGGTGAGTGCCACTTTCAAAAATATGTTAAAAGTCAAGTGTACTAGATCAATGGTCTACTGAAAATATTATTAGTTGTGGAACTTGCCAAGTGTCTGGGGTAACAAGCGCGGTGGCAGCTCAGCCTCCCAGCCCACCTGGCACACATCCTCACCATGGAGCCTGAGAATGGATGAAACGATTCTGGTGGCTTCAAGAGATGAGCATTGAAATCATTTTGAAACACTAGTGTAGAGGATATAGAAAGTTGAGTCTGTGCTAGCGCTTAGACGAAGGTACCTGCTGTGCTGACTTGTCTTTTGAAGATAAAGCTGGATTTTTCTAGGGGCATATTGTGCGTGATGGGACAATTGGTGCTATTCATCTGTCTTCTGACTTAACTATTTCAGACTTTATTTCTTCCATTGTATTTGCTTTTAGCATCAGTGAATGAAAACCATGAAATATACATGAAGGATTCTGTGTCTGCTGCAGAGGTTGGTACTGGCCAGTACGCCACAACAAAGGGCATCTCTCAGACCAACTTGATCACCACTGTGACTCCGGAGAAAAAGGCCGAGGAGGAGCGTGATGAGGAAGAGGACAGACGGAAAAAGGCCGAGGAAGCCACTGCTGCCGCGGCAGTACGGCCCGAGGGAAAGGTACTTCTCCCAGGCTGCCTCCTAGAGCTCGCTCGGACTTCTGAGAGCTGCCGAGTAATGCTAGAGCATAAACCAGGAATGGTGGAGACTTAGGCTAATTCATCTTTCAGCCTTAGTCACATTCTTATTATCAAATTTAAATGATTTCCTCGGTCGACATTTTTCCTCTGGAAGGATTCCCTTTCAACTTTTTGAGCATTTTTATTCTAACCACTGATGTGCTACATAAGACTTTCAATAGCTGTCCTGTCTGTATTTTTTTAAAAATACATTTAATGGTTGGTGATTTACACTTTTCTGTTTGGGCTCATTGGTCAGAGCTATTACTAAAGCTGTTTGTTTCTGGCCCCATTCTCCTACCCAAGGAGTGCATATTTTTTCTAGATATGCAGTGTAATGACATTGCCATTCTTCTGACTGCAAGTAATGGAGTGACCATAGCTTGTGTGCTTATACAGTGTTTCCTCTCTTAGCCTTATGATTATAATCTAATCATCAGAGTAGCGAGTGGGCATGTTTTAAAAAGTGATAGTAAGGCAGAAGGTTGCAAGGGAAGTTGTAAAGTGAATTTGGCAGCAACTGCTCCAAGGTGTTTTTTGTTTTTTATTTTTTCATTAAATTTCGTAACTTCATTTCACCCAAATTCAATTTATTTTTTAATGTTATCTTTGTTTTTGGTGATCCAGCTCTATACAGCAACTTTTTAGGAAAATAGAAGGCAAAAGCCATATAAACCATCCACTTCTGCTTAGGGGTTTTGTATGTAGCAGAGCTACTCCCTAAAAGTCAGAAAACATTGCGAGGCTTATACATAAGAGCAGCCATGGGAAGGAGTGGCTCCTGCCATGTGCTCAGCACAGAGTGAAACGAGATAGCAGAATAAAAATGCTGTATAACTTACAGCTGTGTTAAAACCTGTGTAAATTTCATGCGGAAATCTTCTTTTGCACGTGGGCTCTTTAAATATAGATTTATTTGCAGGGACTCACCCTCTGGGACTCTCTAGAGAAAACTCCTTTGGACAAGAATTTAACAGTGACAGCTAAAAGGGTATACTGATCAAAACTTATCGTTGTTGTAGTTAGTTGCGTTAGGAAATTCAAAGACCCAGTCCATCCTTTCTGTGGGATAAAATTATTTGCCAAACAGAAAAAATAAAAGCAGGATAGGAAATGATAGCAAAAAATGTTAGGATCACTTGTGCTGTTCAAATGTACTTGGTTCTGGGTTTTGCTTTTAGACTTTTTGTTTAAGTCGAGGCAGGTTTTAAATAGGACATGAAAAGAAGATAGTATACCTGAGCAGCAAATGTGTTGCATGCTTTGTTGAAAGCACCCAGGTAACATATGCTTCTCATGGATGTGTAAACAGGATTAAGTGGCACAGAAAAGTAAATTACTTGGTTTGATCAAAAAAAAAAATAGATCCAGGCAATCTCACTTTGATTTTAAATATCAGCAATTTGTTTACACAAAGTGCAGCGTGAAGCAGTCATCACTCTGTGCATTTATGCTGTGGGAAAGTAAAATGACAGAGAAAAGCAGGGCTCTCGGAGTCTGAGTCTCTGAGAAGCCAGTACTCTCCCAAAGCACTCCCAAAGGGCTGTGGCAGAGACTCAGTGCCGATGCAGGCGGATGTCTGTCCTCATCGTCCACAGTGCGCACCTGTCTTTTAAAAGCCACGTTCATAAGCAATGTGAATGATTGCATCTTAACTTTATTATTCTCCAACTTCAAAAAGTAATGTAGAGGGTACTCATTTTTTAAAGAAAATGAAAATATATTACTAAAAATAGTTACTAAACAACTAGTCCCCTATTCCTTTGAGAGGAGGCCTGTCTCCCAGCTCTGAGTGCCTCAGGAGACTGGGTGGCCTTCTGCCACGGCAGGAACAATGGTCTGCATGCGGAAGTCCGCCTGTAACTAATACATCGCGCTCAGTTGAGTGAGATTTGTGCAGGGTCTTGTTTAAAACACAATGTTTAACATACATGTGAGTGTTAGGAAAAGACACTTGTCTAATGTTAAAAAAGACACTTCTAAATTCTAATATGTCCATGATATAATTTTATTTGTGCCTTTTCTTACTCTTTGTCTCTGTAGTTATCAAGTTAGGAATAGATAGCCACCAAAAAACAGGTTGGGTAATGTCCATGCTATCAGGTCACTAGGCAAAGCAAACACACACACACACACACACACACACACACACACACTCTCTCTCTCTCTCTCTCTCTCTCTCTCTCTCACACACACACACACACACACACACACACACCCACACCCACAGAGAGCAGCAGAAGTCTAATTATCTTCAGGCTCCGTGTGACCTCGACTTGAACTCCTGGGCTGTGGCGGCTTTAGTGCTGTGCCCGGGTCCTTTTGGGGCCTTGCTTTCTCTGCCTGCCCTTGCTCAGCAGCCCTCTGCCCCCTTCCGAGGAGCCTGGCTGTGGTCCTCCCACTGCAGGGCCAGAGGGAAGGGGAGGGCCTCCCTGTCCCGCAGAGCCTGAGCTCACTGGGGTGCATTTTGTGGCAATGTCTGCCCCTGTCATTCTCATAAGAGCTCAAACCAGGCGAGTTAAACCTACCATTTATCTACTAAGAAACTCCAGAAGGCTGGGAAATTGTATCTTTCTATTATTCATGGGCCACAAATAATACAAAGTAAATACTTGTAAGCCATAGTACCAGAAAACATGTTGTTTTTGCTTGTTAGCTTGTTGAAATCACTTATTGGAGTTTAAGTCCCATTTACATCATTGATAAAGGAGCCAAAATAAGAATTTTCCAAGGAACCTCAATTCTTTGTGGAGAGTCCGATTTCCTAAAGGCTAATTACTGAAATCCCTGATTGGAACTGCTTGTCACATAGGAGTGGGGCCAGAAATTTTTTTATGTGGAAACCCACCTGTCAGGGATATAATTAATTAACCAAGGAAAGGTAATGCTAGAGATTTCTTTTGACATAATCAAAATTTTGATCCATTTTTCTTTCTAATTCAACTGAACCACAGTAACAGATCTGTTAACTGATGATCAGGCGATGCTATTGAAAGTCTTGATTTTAAGTTATCGGAGTTATATTTACTTGCAAAACCCTTAAACTTTCTAGAAATATTTGATCGTGTGAAACATGTCGACTTTGAGATTGCCCACAGATATCTTCGTGCTGACTTTTTTAAAAAGCCCGCCCTGGATTTGATGGGCGGATGGGAGAGCGGTAGCCTTTGGTGGCAGTGTTGGCATGCAGCTTGAGTACTTTAAAATTCACGAACAAGCTAGTGCTGAAATTCTTGTTTTACAATTTATATTGATACCCATAAGAAAATTAACTAATTGCAGTTTTCTTTTTGTCCTTTTGCACCTCTGTTTGCTGCTTTCTGTCTCTCTCTCTGTCTCTTTCACATCAGTCACCTGGGCTTGGCACTGACTCATGTTCCCTGTCCCCCCCATCAGCCCACTGTCCCCCTGCATCTCCCACAGAGCTCCGTAGGAGGTGTAAGGAGAATGACCACCAACCTCCGGGTTGCAAACCTTCTAAAGACACTGTGCCTGTGCACGGAGAGCCCTCCGTCGACTCTGACGGCAAAGGGAAGCCGTACCTAGCGGACCAGGATGTGGCTTTTAGCTACAAACAGCAAACTGGCAAAGGGGCCACCCTGTTCTCCTTCTCCTTGCAGCTCCCGGGGTCATTCCCTTCTCTTCTAGATGACGACGGGTACCTCTCTTTTCCCAACCTGTCCGAAACCAACCTCCTCCCCCAGAGCTTGCAGCATTACCTCCCGATTCGCTCACCCTCCCTCGTGCCCTGTTTCCTCTTCATCTTTTTCTTCCTGCTCTCAGCCTCCTTCTCAGTGCCATATGCCCTCACTCTCTCCTTCCCTCTGGCTCTGTGCCTCTGCTACCTGGAGCCCAAGGCGGCCTCCTTGAGTGCCTCACTAGACAATGACCCGAGTGACAGTTCAGAGGAAGAGGTGTGTACCTCGGCATAGAACACACTTCCCTGTCGTGGTCGGGGCTTTGGTCCAAAACAGTGTTAGACGGCTGCTGCGATAGTGGTCCTACTTTCAGAGCCTCATTTATTGTCTGTGCCAATCTGTGAAGCGATTTTTGTGTGTTGGGGGAAGCAATCCGGCCCCAGGGTTAGGCACAACACCATGTGGACGTAGCAGTCCGAGCCCAGCCCTGAATCATGCTGCTACCCACTGAGTTACATGGCTGGGGAAGGACTCAGCCGGAAGTCAAGTCTAAATAACCCTGTGGCTGTGTAACAATCAGGGTTAAGTTAAAGGTTTTGTTCAGTTACCATTTAATAAAGTAAATTGCACACAAGATAAATACATAACTTTTAACTAGATTTATGGAGTGTTACTAAAAGTACAGCCACTTCTCAAATAACGTTGCTTCATTCAACACCTTTTCATTATAACATTGATGAGATGCCATAGGAATTTAACTCTTGTTTATGTCAGTTAGCCTCTGGTAAAATTGGTTTCATTATACATCACTTCGCTTAAAGTCACAGACCCTGTCGACAACGTTAAGTGAGGACTTTCTGTATCCTGATATCATGATACATGGTGGTGAGATAGTCTAGATCAGTGATATTCAACCTTTTTCATCTCGTGGCATTATCTATATGTATAAAAGCCTAAGCGACCGAATGACAGAATGACCGAACGACTAGTCACTATGATGCGCACTGACCACCAGGGGGCAGACACTCAACGCAGGAGCTGTCCCCTGGTGGTCAGTGTGCTCCCACAGCCAACCTCCCGCAGGCCCTCCCCCGACCAACCTCCTGCGGCCCTGATCAGCCTCAATCACTGGCCAGGCCAAGGGACCCCACTCGTGCACAAATTCGTGCACCAGGCCTCTAAGTATAAAATAATTAATAAAATTCTGCTGCACACCAAAAATGTATTTTTTGCCAATCTGATCATCTAAGGGGAAAGGGATCAGTACCCCTGACTAAATAGTCAGGTATTGCATGTTTTAAAAATTCTTGCAGCACACTGGTTGAAAAATCACTGGTCTAGATAAATGCTACTCATGGTGAGGTGGGAGATAACACTACCATAGGGGATGTGTTGTCATCATCTGGGCAGTTTTACAAAACTGTAAATGCCTCTCATCCTGGGGATTCTGAAATGTCCCCTCTCCTGTCTTCTGTTGTCATTGCTAGGCTGTCATTGTTACTCACAGACGTGAGCCACATTCCATGGGTGTTTTGGGTTAGAAGGGAAGTTTGAGCTGTTTAAAATGTCCACATAACATCAGTCATTGGCAGAAAGGACTGCATTGAAAACACCAGTTTTCAAGCACAGTCAGGAAGAGACTCGCTTGAGGCTTCTATACACTGTAAAAATGGGCTGAAATTTCATCAGCACTAGCAATGCCAACGTATACACTGGATGATTTCTTTAAAATCCAACATGAGTCAAAAACCCCACATGCATTCAGACAGTCTGGAAAGGCCAGGGACGTTGGATGGGCCTCTATGGCTTCCAGCCAGGCAGTTGTTCAGTGGGGAAAGGACTTGAGCCTTCAGCCTCCATCCACGAAGCCCTGCTGCCTGTCTGTTTCCTGTCCCTCATCCAAGCCATTGGGTGAGCTGATGTTGTCACCAACAGCCTTTCCTCTTAATTGCTCTCCTTTCCCCATAGCGGTATGAACAGCCCAGCGGTTTCCCTTTCTACAGGCTTCACATAGAGAGCAGGGAAAAGGAATAGAAGCTGCCCGCAGAGGCACCTGGCTGTCACCTGCCCTCCTGCCCACTGCTCCCCCGGGCCCCTCAGCTCTTCTATTCCCACAAAAGAAGGGTTTTGCGGCAGGAGACAAGCCCATTACTCTTAGCATTTAAAAAATTTACAAAGTCAAAGCCACATTATAATAAGAAAAAGTCTTTTCAGTTTTTGCTCAGCTAGAAATCACGTGAGCTGCACCTGTGAGTATATAGTATTGCCAGGGTGTGTAAGTATCTATATTTAGTGGTATTATGACCATTTCTTTTCAGCAGAAGGGGAAAAAATGGGAATGGTTTCACAGATGTTTGAAATAAAAGTTTAAGCTTTTCAGTTTGATACTTGCCTAAGAGCCCTTTTCAAGGATCCTGGGTCACATATGACTTAGGTTAGATCTATGTAACTATTTTCATACTTGAAAAATACTTTTCAGAGAAAACTAGTTTAAATCTTAGGCTTTAATAGCACTCTTTCTCACAGTGGCCATATTATCAAATAATATAAGACTAGAACCTACAGCAGTCAAGAACACAGTTTTATCTATAAAGACTATATAGCTTGTTTCCAACCTGGACATACATTTTTCCTTTAGCAATGGAGTTAGTCATCAGGCTAGCATAAAGCAAAAAGATTGCCATTTTATGCTTTCTGAATTCTAAATAACTGAACTTACGTGTAGCAAACCACACAGATCTTGTGCCTAATCCAGGGTATACATCTTGTTGTAATCAATGCATGAGAACTCATGTTAAACTTGGGCATGTCTGCATTACGTCGACAAAACAAATCACAGCAGTACTCCCTGCAAGCTGGTGACCATGGGACTGGAGCTTCCCAGTACGGGACTCTCCTTGTTATTGAAAATCTCTCGGACCATGAACCAGCCCTGGCCGCTGCCGTCTCCCGAGCCCCCCTCTGCAGCCTCGGTCAGCCGTGGCAGCTCTCCTGACACTTCATATTTGGCCATCTGTTCAGTGTCGTCTCTTAACACCAAGTGTTCAGAGCTGTGCTCTCTAGTTCCAGCCAAGCTAGAGAACTCATATGTAGGTCATTCAGTTAAAAAAAAAATAGACATTTGTTTACATGGCCTGTTTCATTCTCCAGGCCTCAAGCACTTTGGCAGCTACACTGGGTGACTTCGTAACATACAGTTCAGCTCTGTGACTTTGATTTTGCAAAATCACTAATGGCCATAATTCTTTTTAAATATTTTATCATCACTGCTTTCATGTTTCACCTGTTGTGCTGGCTTAATTAGTTCCAGCCTTTCTCCAGAGTGAAATCCAATGTAGAAATGCTTAATCATTTCAAACATAAAGCTGTTGGCCAATACTATCTTTCTTTTGTACTTTCAGAGTGGTCAAATAAGAAGGGGCGGTATATCAAATTGTCTTTTAAGAAACAAGATGAATTTAGCTCACCATACCATAAAATGTAGTTACATATGAATTTCTGAGGAATTTTTTTGATAATGCAAAAAACAAAAAGATAAAAATCAAATCTGGAGGAAAAAAATGACCACTTAATTTTAACATTTTAAATTAACAGTAATAATTATGTTATATTAGCATCAATATATTACAATTATTATAGGTTTTCTTAGTTCTGTGTGTGTCAGACATATAAAGCACTGAGTATCCATTTCTTGATCTGGTTAGGGTTATTTCCACCATTTTACTAGAAGGAAATTGGGATTAAAACATAAAATGTGCCCAATGTGTCACAGATTTGACTAGCGAGGATTTTAGCTCATGTCAGTCTGATCAGGCCCCTCACACTTCACCAGGACTGTAACCTAAAGCCAAGATGCTTGCAAAGTCCTTGATATAAATTTTAAAGTCATAGGGAAATAATATGTGGGAGGAGAAATACTTTCAAGAACTTTTAAAATCTTTGGTACAATTAGCACACTGAGCACAAGTCATTCTTATTTGTTCTTGAAAGTTTTAAGATTTTGAATTATTTCAAACCCTGTCTCTCTTTTTAATTCAGACTGACCTTTCTCTAGATTGTCAGTGGGTGAAGCATTGTAATATCTTAGCAATAATCACCCAAGAAAATTAATAGCCACCCACCCCACATGTTGCCAAGTTGGTCAGGTCATGAAAAGGTATCAACACACTTTCTTTACCAACCTACTGAAAATTATTTTCCACTTAAACATGCTAGCAAGTGGCCAGAATGGCGACCTCGGGTGTACCATTGCACAAATACCAACTCCTTTTCTTTTAGGAATATGTAAAATGAAAGTTTGAGTCAGTGCCAAGAAATCAACCTAGCAAGAGTTATGTGAGCATAAACAACTTTCCCACTGTCCCTTCCTAACACTCTTGGGAGTGTCTTAAGAGGCAGATTCACAACCTTAGAGCTTTGATTTTTGTTTTCAAAATATTAATCACACATCTTTGCTCAAGGGAATTTAATAATGCTTAGCTGGTATTTATGGAAGAAAAGTCCGTTAATATTAGGGCATTTAGATATTTCTGTTTCGATGGCTATACTATTCCCCGCCAGAGAAACTAGTTTTTGTTTTAAATCATAAACCTCTGAAACAGATTAAAAACCAGTTCTGAAATTTCTAGTATAATTCTTCCCTAAAAACATGGGCCCTGACAATGCTGTGCTTTGTTTTATTCGTTTCCAAGTAGATATTTCTCTAATTTTAAAAAATTATTATTATGCTGTTGTTAATTCTCACCTGAGGATATTCTTTCCATTGATTTCTTTAGAGCTGGGGTGGGGACCGTCCAGCCTGTGGGCTGCATAAGGCCCAACAAATCATTTGGTGTGGCCCTGCCAAGGCAACTGCAGGCAGGACTTGAAATTCAATAAATCTAGGAGCTTTTTTTTATAGCAACATAAATTTATATTAAGTGAATTATATTAAGCGAATGATGTTATAAATATCCAGATGACCCATGGCAGAAAAAAGGTTCCCCACCCTGCTTTAGAGCGAGTGGAAGGAAGGGAGGGAGGGCAGAGAGAGAGAAACATGGATATGAGAGAGACATTATTATTGCTTCATTTGAATGGGAATTTTTGAAACACGATATTTCAGTAGATATACCTCTTTATGTTGGAGGGTGAGGCAAAATAAACACAGGATATAGTCTTTAAAAATACCTAGTTAGCAAAGCTAATTGAAAATTAAGTTACATTTTTTTCATATATATAAAACATGTGCCTGTGAGTCACTGGCATGTGCTTTTTATAATTACTAAGTAATGCAGATGGCCTGGTGGTCACAAATGGATGTAAATGATCAAAACGGTATAAATGAGGGGCTGAAAGTCCAGTGACTGTTATAGTAGCTTTTTATTTAAATTTCCATTTTAATTTACCTTTCAAATGTCTGAAATATTACTAGAATTTAAAAAAAAACTATATAAACATCAAATTTGCATTAAGTATTTTGCATTAAGTATATTTAGGGGATCTTTCTTGGGTTTTAGTTAAAGCTGGGGGGGGGGATGACAAATTGGTTTTCCCAAAACATAAAACCAGACAGGTCAGCTTGGCTACTGTAGTGTCTGCGGTTCCCGCAGGCTGTGTGCCTCTGGTCTTCCTCTGAGTGGCTCTGCTGGTGAAACCTAGCTCTGGCCTTGCTTTTGCTTTTGCTTGACCCTGCATTCTCGTGGGAAGGTAGTTTGATTCGGATCACAGAGAAAGAGAGTGGACTGCTTGGCCTGTGCCATGCCCCATTTAACCAGACGGGTTTGTTTTCTCTTCCTGCCTTCCTCCTGGAACCCGATCACTTCTCTGGTCAATAGACGGACAGTGAGCGCACGGACACCGCGGCCGATGGGGAAACCACTGCCACTGAGGTTGGTATAATCGCTGAGGGTGGTGGCTCTGCCTTTAGGAACTTTGCATATTAGCTTTTAGAATGGAGAGAAATTCTAACCATAGCAATAGGAGTTAAATATTTTATAAGGCCTAGACTAGTGGTTCCAAACTCTGTAGAATCCCATTTCATGTTTCTCATTAAGAAGGTCTGGGGCCTGGATGGAGAATTTGTATTTCTAAGGAGTCCCCGGAAGTTGTTGATTCTGTCCATTTTAGTTAGGACCACATTTTGAGAATCATTTGGCTACACTGATAATGCTTATTTTTCATATAGTCCCCTATCCCAGTGGCCGGCAAACTGTGGCTCGAGAGCCGCATGTGGCTCTTTGGCCCCTTGAGTGTGGCTCTTCCACAAAATACCACGAGCGGGCGCGCACGTACAGTGCGATTGAAACTTCGTGGCCCATGCGCAGAAGTCGGTATTTTGTGGAAGAGCCACATGTGGCTCACGAGCCGCAGTTTGCCGACCACTGCCCTATCCCAAATGAAAGGCTGTTTATGTATCACAGCTATGATGAATGGGGAGGAGCATCACAATTAATTTAATTAGCTTGTTGATGGTTACAGAAATATATTTAAGTTCCAAATGGTCAAGTATACTTGTTCAAATAATAATACTTCTTTTAACTCATTTTTGTAGACTAGAGGTAGCACAGGTCACTCAAAATAAATGAATTGTCTAGGAAGAGAAATTAAATAACTTCATACTTTATTGAAAAAAATGTGGTCAGATGGAACAGTGATAGAAGGAATACTATGCTATTATGTATCCTTTATTAAATTTTTAGGGTACATTAAATATGTGTGTGTGTATGTATGTATGTGTGTAGCTTATGTTGTTTTTCAAATCTTCTCTACCAGTTAATAATTAAAATTTCTGTAAAACCAGTATTTATCTATAGTAATGGGAGTCAAGATGTTCATTTTCTAAAGTGCTAGCAGAATTTATTTTTTACTTTGCAATAATTTTTTCTTTAGGTTGCCTTTTTACAGCATTTAATATTATAATACCTAGTTGGGTATTTAGGAAGAACTAAATATTGTAAGTAGTATCTATAAATCATTTTATTGAAAATATCTTCAGAAAAACATTTCAAAGTGGAATTTTATTAAGTGTCTTCCTTCGGAAATGCCAGGCTTCAATTCAAAGCTTGGAAATCGTAATTTTTTTAAGTTAAAAATAATATTGTAAAAGTATTTTTCATATCCTTTTAAGCAATCATGTAAATTTATTAAAAGTTAATAATTTTCTATGGCAAAATATAACCAGTGCATGTTATGTTATAAGAATTAGTAGTTACATATAGCTGCATATGAATATATTTAATAAATTTCACTGTAATCTTAAGTGCTACAAGTGAACAATATTTTAATACTACTTTAAAGTTTATATAGCAGTTAACATTTTGTTGTATAACATCTGAAGCACAAAACTCAATACATGTAACAGGTAGCTTGTTAGGCTTAAAAATAAGTGAAGAGCTGTGAACCTGCCACATACTTAAGAATTAGCACATCACTCACACTGTGTTAGGGTTACCTGTGCACTCTCTAACACTTTTTAAACATTTTCCTTTTCTTTCAGAAACCAGCATAAAAGTAGTGCAGGGTGGGGCATGCTGGGTAGGCAGTCTTGACCCCTTTGGCAGATAAGGAAACCTGGACCCAGATAGACTGACTTGCTTATGGCCACCTGCTCAAGCATTGGCTTCTCGCGTGTGGCTTTACTCTGGGCCTCCTCTGTAGCACAGGCCTGGGTGACTGTGGCTTGGCCTACTTACCTAGTTTTTCGTACTCAGATACCTGCCCAAGGATTAGACACGTCCTTGAAATGAGAAGGGTTGAGGGAGAAAGGATAACAGAGTGGCATTTAGGTAATTTTTTTGTATTTTTTTAAAAACTCAAAAATAGTGTTTTTAAAGGTAATTGTTGATTTTAAAGGTAATTGTTGATGGTAGTTGATTTTTATAAAAATTTTATTTACCCCATATCTTTCTTCTTCCCTCCCAAATTGGTTTTTTAAGTACACGAGTTCAAGAAATTACAGGTTTCAAGGAGTTTTTAAATGTGAGAACCTCTGTGTTAAATTTTTTGAGCCTCAGTTCTCTGGCCTACATTGGGGATAATAATAGCTAACCTCTTAGAATTATGATGAGGATTCATACACTACAAAAAGCTCTCATTATTGGGAAATCATAGCCATTCTCATGAATTTGAATTTTAAGGGGGCTCCCTACATTTCCTGAACCATTTCTAATGTCCATTAAGGACAGCCCGCCGAGCCCTTGCTGTCACCTCCCAAGCGTAGGTGTGCACACATTACACTTACAAGTCTGCAGGTTAAAGTGGCAAAAACCCACTGAGCAAGGAATCTTTTACTCCTCTTTTCTTTTTAAGCTTGTCATTTGTGTGTGGGAATGTTGTGGTTTGCAAAGAAGAAATAGCATTTGTAAGCAAGAGCAAACTAGTGCCTCCTTTTAAGCAAGTTTATATAGACCGTGGTTCCTCAGTCTCAGAGTCACTTGCATGGTAAGACTTTGTTTCCCGCTCTTTCCTGATGCTGGCAGTCGGACCAGGAGGAAGATGCAGAGCTCAAGGCACAGGTAGACAATGAAAAATAAAACAATAGCAAAACCCAGTGTGTGTAAGCCATTGTCCATCTGTGGTGTTCCAGTCTCCCAGCATGCTCCGTAGCCGGTTGCCGTGTAGTTGATGCAGTGGGAGGGTGACATTTGTTCCAGTGACTACCATGTCCCTTACCTTTCCCTTTCTTCTCCACTTTTTTCAGAATAGTCTGATTAATCGAATAAAGGGTGAAAATGTGTATGTCAAACATAGTAATCTTATGTTAGAGGTTGGTATGAGTATATACCAGTGCATGTTCATGTGTGTTGAGTTCTTTCCGTGGTCTACCTGTGGGCTCATACCATGGTGCATGAACTGTGTGCTCTCACCTGTGAACAAGTGGGGATGACTTCTCACCTTTCTCTGATTTCCTTCCTCTCTCTTTTCCTGTGTGTGTATTTATTTTAATTCTCTCTGGTTACATGTGAATTATATGCTTTAAAGTTTACCATTTTAAACTCTTGATTTTTATGCTTGTGTGACCTAGATTATTTTTTCCTCTCTTTTCCTTGGCAATATCACATTTTCACCAGAGTGTTTGTGGTAGTGTCATGAGCTGTGATCAAAACCTTTGTTTTGACTACTAATGAAATGGACATTACTTTTTTTAAAAAAAAGAGAGAGGAAAGAGGAAAATAAATGTAAAATGTTGACTGTTGGATTCTTTATGTTCTGAATATAGGAGCTAGATAAAACTCAAGATGACCTGATGAAACATCAGACCAATATTAGTGAGCTGAAAAGAACCTTTTTAGAAACCTCCACAGACACTGCCATCATGAATGAATGGGAAAAAAGGCTTTCTACCTCCCCAGTGCGACTAGCCGCCAGGCAGGAAGATGCACCCATGATAGAACCACTTGTCCCTGAAGAGGTCGGTATTCAGGCTGTTGGTTGCAATTGTCTTCTGTTCACTAGACTCGCTTCTCCACAGGGTCTGCACCTGGGGAAAGGATTTGGCAAGCTTCTGAGTAGAGAATCTCACCACTTATCTGTGTGTAACCTGAGCTGCCATATTCAGTGCTCCAAAGAAAAGCTGAAAAATAAAATGATGAGGTGGCTAAGGAGCAAGTTGGTCACATCAGATGGTGCTTAAGAGTAAACAAGGAGCCACGGGGAATTATAATGCATGTCCGCCTATCCCATTAAACCTAGATTTCACATCTGGGAGAAAATTAGCTACTATCAAAGAACTGACACTTTTTCTGAATATGCTGCTTCTGCTGCATTAAGAAATGCCCTGAAAACTCATGAATGCTTCTCATTAATTGCAAGATAAGGCCTATGGAGGTTGTCTAATGTTTGACTAAATGGTAACCTGAAGTTGATAGAATTTCAGGACATACTTTATTCTGGGAATACTGTACCAGCCTTTTACAGGTATGAGCAGTATTTTATTTTTATTTATAACTGATTTTTATACATATGACTGCTATTTTAACAAATTTATAACCAGTTTTTATTTTCAATAAGGAAAGTAAGGCCAGAATATGTTTTCAAGTGAGACTCTTCCATATAGGAAAGCTCTGTATAAATTACAGCCAGAGTGTAGGGAGGATCCAGCTGGTGCGAGTGACTTGGTGCTCCCATTGTGGGCCCTCGAATAGCTAATCTGTCGACTATTAGACATCATCTTGCTTTATCTGTCTTTCAAAAAAAGTAGTTTTTTAAAACTGCGTCTTTCTCGCATCATATTGATTAATTTCTTATCAAGACTCCATTATTGTGAGACATTTGTTCAGGAAGCTGAAACAGAACAGAAGAAAATTAAAACTTAGGCCTTTATGGGAGAAAATTTCTTTAACAGTAGTCAATGCTTAGGTCTTTGCAGTGGAAAAAAAAAAATGTAATTAAACTCATTTTGGTCATTTTTAAGACTTCCTTTAAGAGCTATTTATCAAAAGTGACCACAATCACTATACTATCTTCATGACAATTCCAAATCCAGCTAAACACTGACGAGGCATTTCTCTATTTGAATTACTTTGAAAAGGGCCCTTTTATGCAGAATAAATGGAAAGTACTATTACCAAAGTATTCCTTTGCCATTAAACACCAATTTCCATCAGATTATTTGAGTTTCAAAAGATGAAATGTCTCATTCCAATTGATTTAAATGTTGTAGACCCTGCATTAGTAAGAATATCGCTTGTTAATTATCATTGCATAAAATTTCATTGTAATTGGTCAGATTTGACTTACTGTATATCTACTATCTCTGTTGGGAATAAGGAAGATCATTTTGGCTCTGAGGATGGCAGACACTGCATTAAGTTACAAACACAAAAAATAAATAGCCACCAAAACTGAAACCAAAAAACCCATGCCTCCTTATGGTCACTTAGTAAGGGACATGGTAGGTGGTAGCCACTTTGAATGAAGCTTAGGTGGACGCGTAGAGAAGTTAAAGGTTGGTGCTAATAAACAAGGGACTTGACAGAGCTAGGCCATCAGACTAGTAAAAAATGTGTTTCACTTACTAAATCATCTTATTCGTAGAGAATGACATTGATGAACCAAAAATCATTAATAACTTGAAAAGGTGATACTTTGAACATAGTGAACTTTCCCTGGATAGTGCTGCCTTTTCTGTGTTAGCACAGACAAGCTGCAGTGAGCCCAAGAAAGGATTTTTCTTTATAATTAAAGGATGGAAACATGGCCTCTGCAGAGGGGTGAGCAGTTTGGTTATTTAGACTGGAGAAGACAATGGGCTGGTCTGCTTTTAGGGTCTCCTAAGCTGTTAAGCAGAGGCTCTACCCCAGGGTCCAGCACCACCACAAAAAGAAAATTATAGAAAGACTTGGCTAGACCTGAAAAAAAACTTAAAAGCAAGGCTGATTAACCCTGGTTATCAAAGAGCAGCCCTAAGGAGCTTCAGGTCCCAGAGGAAGAGGTCCTTTCAGGGCGGGTCAGAGCTCTGCGTATTTTCCTTGACCTTGGGGCTGGGCAGAGTAGCCTAGGGGCTGCCTTCTAACGCTGTCCAGGCCCCTTCATGGCATCCAAGTTTATATTCCATTTGAGGGCCGTAAGGACAATCCAAAAAGTTTGTATGCTCTAAATTCTTGACAGTTTCTAAATTATGGCCCTGGCTTTTGTTATGGTTTGTGAAAAGTGCAAAAGATAACTTTTCTCCTCCCAGCAAGCTACATGCAAAGCATATTCATTTACAAACACATACCCAAAAGATTTTCATTTTAGAAGGGAGGTATTTTTCTAAGTAAATTACTAGTTTTATATCATCCTATTATTTCATGTATCCCTTTTTATTTTAAAAAAATATGTATATATATATATTGATTTCAGAGAGGAAGGAGGAGAAAGAAACATCAGTGATGAGAGAATCATTGATCAGCTGCCTCCTGCATGCCTCCTACTGGAGATTGAGCCCACAACCCAGGCATGTGCCCTTGACTGGAATCGAACCCGGGACCCTTAGGTCCACAGGCCGACACTCTATCTGCTGAGCCAAACCAGCTAGGACTCATGTGTCCCTTTTTAAATCTAAGTAAACAGTAATGGACCAGTTTAGAAAGAAGTCCTAAAATAATTTAATTTTAAACAAGGGCCAAATACTGTTTGTGTGAAAGGTTGAAGAAACCCTGATTCAATGACCCCAAGCTTAGTTATTTTTTTTGTAATCTAGGTAATAAAATGTTGTGGAATCTAATTAGGGCTGGTTTTTAATGTGACCATCTTTTTTGTTTATCTATGGTGTGTTTGACGCCTAAGTATTTTTTTTTTGAGGATGTTTTCATTGATTCTTTTTAAAGAAAGGAAGAAAAAAAGAGAGAGAGAGAAACATGGATCGGTTGCCTCCCATACGTGCCCTGACCAGGGATCCAACCCACAACGTAGGTATGTGCCCTGACCGGGAATTGAACCCACAACCTTTTTGGTGTATGGGGCGACGCTCCAACAACTGAGCTACCTTGCCAGAGCAGTAAATATATTTTTATAAGATGCTACCAATTTATGATTAAAAGAAAATTCAGAGTTAAAAATACAAGTAATAAGCTAGTAATAGTGATGATATTCTAAGCATATTACATATGTTTACTATAAAATGAGAATTTTATTGTCAGTAGTTTCAAGTTTAAAACATTTGCATTATTAGCAAGGATATGCCCCAAAACAGCAGATAATATCAGTCCTTATTAAGTTTGGAAAATTGACAAACCACATACAGGGTTCATAGAACATAGGAAAGGTAGGTGTGTGGTATGTGAAGAATTCCAGGTATGTCTTCTGTTCACACATATTTTCCATGACAGTCTTCTATGATGCACCTTGGCTTTGTCCACATTAGAGGTATGTTCCCTTATGGTTACTTGAATTTTAAAAGTTTCCAAATTCCACCCAATAGGCAGTACCCATTAGCACTTACACAGCGCCAATATTCTCTTTTTTAATGTGGCTGGTTTTGCAAGTATGTGAGCTTAGTACAGTGAATCCTCCTCATTCACACTCCATATTTGCACATTTGCTTCTTCACTAAAATTTATTGTAACCCCAATGTCAGTATTAGCAGTGGTTCCATGGTCCTTGGCAGACAGGCTGAGTGGTGAAAACCTTGAGTGGCTCAATGTATACGTTCCCAGCTGAGGCTGAAAGGCAGGGTTCTGCTTTCTTGGTTCAGCTCTCACACTGTAAACAAGTGTCCTTTTCATGGCCTGTTTAGTGCCACATTATTGCTTTTTTGTGTTTTTGCTGGTGATTTTTCTGTTTAAAATGGCCCCCAGGCATAGGACTAAAGTGCTGTCTAACATTCAGCAGTGTGCCTTATGGGAAGCTACATGTGTTAGATGAGCCTCATTCAGGAATAAGAGTGTTGTTGACTCTGAGTTCCATGTTGATGTGGATCAACAATTTATGTTAAATATAAGGGACTTTAAACAGAAATACATACAAAACAGATTATGTATTGATAATGACCAGAGGCTCACAGGAACCTAATCCTGTATATCCCCAATGGGGCAGTGTTTCAGCATTCACCAGTTTATTGTTCATAGCGACTTTGTAGAACCTAACTACCATGAATAATTGGAATCGATTCTATTTGTTCATTTGTCTGCTTTCTAGTCCAGCTCTCCTTTTGCTATTCGGGTCTTAGATGGACCTCAAATTGGACCAAAAAAAAACCATTCACCAGGGATCATCTATTTATGATTAAGAAGAATTATCTCCGCCCAAACCGGTTTGGCTCAGTGGATAGAGTGTCGGCCTGCGGACTCAAGGGTCCCGGGTTCAATTCCGGTCAAGGGCATGTACCTTGGTTGCAGGCACATCCCCAGTGGGGAGTGTGCAGGAGGCAGCTGATCGATGTTTCTCTCTCATCGATGTTTCTAGCTCTCTATCCCTCTCCCTTCCTCTCTGTAAAAAATCAATAAAATATATTTTAAAAAAAGAAGAAGAATAATTATCTCCATCTTCTGAATCCGACTTCTTTGATTTTTTCATCCAGGCCTTGGTACATATTACAATTAACTATGGGAAATTTTTAAATACTGATGTGCACCCCACACATCAACTCTTATTTAAAAGCTGGCCACATAATTCTAATGCACAGCTCAGTTTGAAAACCCCTGGCCCAGCTCTGTAGGACACCCTTGATTCCCCCAAGAGCGAGTGCACCTCTGAATTTTGCATGCCAGCATCGGGCCTTGGTTCCCAGTCATGTTTCAGAGATGAACTTTTAGGTCACTCAACAAAATGGATACATCTAATTCTGTTCTAAACCGTTACATTAGTAAGTGTCCTTATTATCAACTTTTCTTTGTCAGTACCTCTTCTCTGTTAGCTGAACTAACTGGATTGGGGTTGACCATTATAGGGTTTAATTTTAATATCTGTCCCCTTTGTTACCCTTTTCTGCAACTGGACATACCCAGTTCTGAGTGCAGACAGTGTGGACATTTTCAGTTATAAACACGGACCTTTTGGAAATGAATTGATGTCAGATAACAGGATATGCTGACTACCACTGTTTTCCTGCTGATTTTGTTTTTTTAAGCTTTCATTTTAGGAAAAAAATAGTTCAGTGATTATAATTAGAGGCCTAGCAGTGGTATTCTGAAAAATACCTATAATTTTGACCTTTATTTCCTGTTTCTTATTCCTATTTGAAAAAGAGGCTATGATTGAAAGTAAACCAAACAAAAATCCACATTTAATGATTGCACATGGTACGTTTTGTCTCTTCCAATACCTTTCTCCAAAATGGGGCAGGACAGGGATTTTATTTTTCCTTCAAAAATGTCTTACTTGTTTCTCACTAAATAGCTCTCATAAAATTATATTGTTTACAACAATAGAATTTATTTTGAAAGCTCCATTCTTCTAGAAACTTTGAACTTTGTTATTTTTAAATTTGCCTTCCTTTCTGTCACTGTTGTATGGAGTTGCATGCTGTGCACAGATAGGGTCAGTAGTCAATGTATAGCCACTTAAATTATTCCTTTTTAATACTAGAGAAAGGAATAACAAGAAGATAAAAGCTAGTTCTAACATGACTTATTTACTTGAACGTTTCTTAATTTGATATGATAAAGATAAGCACGATTTGAAATAAATTATTCACCAAAATATTTTCAAATTGACTCTTTAGAAGTCTTCACCATGTTATGAAAATTCAAATAAAGCTACTACCTTGAGTATATTTTATGTTTATTTGTGGAACAATAAACAAGTCGATCTAGATAGACCCGGGTTTATTCGCATCAGTAGCTAATGCAGTGACCCATGTGTGTTTCTTGACTCTTTATGTAGCAGCACTTACATGGGAATACAATCAAGTATTAGAAATAGAATCGAGATTACTCTCACCTTAATGTTTTTAAGTCTTAACATTTTCTTTTCATACTCACTCACTGGCGGTGTGCCGATGACTGACATAGAGACACTGTTCGAGGCTGGGCACTCTTTTTATTGCTCTTGCATGTCCTGTGTTTGTAGAAATAAGAGTGTTTGAGTCATACAAACACCAGAATTTAGGAAAATTATCTCTTACTTTTTGGAAATAACTATTCAACTTTGAGATAGTTTCAGACCATTTTTCAAATTAATAGACAATAATTTGCTTTTTACAGAAAAATAAATAAATAAAAGAATGACTGTTATATGTATAGCACAATAAAAGAACTCTCTCCTAACTTGCCTTTTTGGGAACTGTCTGCTTCCTCTTCTCCAACCCAACCCCCTTTATTCAAACAGACCAAAGAAGAAAGAGAGATTTCTGAAAAGGTTATATTTTTGCAGCAGGGAAGCTCTTCATTCCTTGAGTCTCAGGTAAAAAACAAACATAAAAGAATTTTCCGAAAGGGTATTGCTCTTCAGACTGCAGTGTTATTAAAATGTCTTTAGTTTTGTTTTCTTTTTAAAATTTACCTTGCTGAAAACTAAGGTAGGTATATATCATTTTTGCTTCGCTTCTGGGGAGGGGAAAATGAATTTTCTCACCCTTGTAGTTACCAGTTAGCCATCATTTCTTTATGGCTTTTGCTCCTAAGTGGTTATGTCTGTGTGTGGGCTTTTCTAATTATTGGAACTCTTCACCATTTGTTTTACCCTTCGTGTGATACTAATCTGGATGGCTTTGAAAGTTCTGAATTTCTATTGGTTTTCCCACTAGCCAAGTGTGATACAGAGAATGCGGGAAGGAGACTCTGTGGTTACCTCTCAGCAAATCATTTTCCAGAAAACGGTCCCATCGACCCTAGAGGTTATTTTTCACTTCATTTCCTTTAATCCAGCACCAACAAGTTGATGACTCTGCACTTCTTTTTTCCTAAGGCACACATATTTCTGGATTCAAGTTTGCAGGCAGTGATAAGTATGCAAGTAGAAAACATTCCAATTTAAAATGTAAACCAAGGTGCTTATATGCTCCTTGATTTGTCTTCTTTCTGGAACCTGTTAGACTAGTCAGCTGCCTGGTCCCATCCTGTGAGGCTTCCCAAATGCAAACATGTCTTAACTTTCATTTCTTCTGCCTTACTGGCACTGGCAGTAGGAAGGTGGCAAAGGAAGTACTGAGACGATGAACATCAGTTGCAAATAAGATTGGAACACTGTACAGGCCACTGTCACCTGTTTGTAAGAGGCTCCTACCATGTCCCAACAGTGGGAAATCGTTCCTTCTAATGCCTTGAACACGGGCACATGCAATAGTTATTGGATAATAAGTGGTATAATGGATTTGATCTCCTAAATAAGGAAGTATAACTTACAAACATGCAAGCATATCCCCAGAAACTTGTGGAATGCTGGCAAGTTCGTTTTGAGAACAGGTCTGAATACACTGTTATGTTTCATTTGGAAAACTGGCTTTTTGTGTCAACACAAGTAAAGCTAAATAACTTGTACAACCACCTTAAGATTATAGTATTTAAGGTTAAAATATAGAATACTATAGATGTTTAACATACGATCAGATATATCTCACCACCAAAGTATGTTTCTATTTAAAGAAATCTGACACTGCAGCTCCACATGCAGACTGTCTTCTGAATTGAGGGTTAGAGCTTATAAATTTCAGATGAGAAGCGATTGCAGCGATAATTATTAGATGGCACCAGCCGGTGCAGTCACATGAGTGTAGCTCTTGTCCTGATTTTCGTAAAGGATTCTTGTTTTAGAAATGAGATGCCATCAGCGTTTCTAATTTAGCTTTTATATTTCAAATATAGGGCACAGAGGATTGGGTTTTTGTAGACAAAATACCTACTGAGGTAGTTGATGGCGATTTGAAAAAGATTGTGACTTACAAGGTGGTGACCATGAGCAGTAGAACTGGTGACATCCCCGCTGACATGTTACGCTCTAGTACCATTGAAATGCAGAGCTTCGACGACTTGGCCCAGGAAATACAATTGAAAGAAGAAAGCAAACAGAAGATATACGCTCTAGGAAAGTCCTATGATACCGTATCCGGAAAAATCGTGACTATGACAGAGAAAGCTAAGGAGGGAGAGAAGGGAGTGCAGCCCTCGGGTCTTGAAGTGTTTCAGAAAATGGAGCCCAGGAAGGTCACCCCCGTCATGACAGAGTACGAGGTCCTGGAAGCCATCGCTGATGAGAAGTCCAAGCGAGGACCCGAGGGCCACACTCCGAAGCGGAGGTTGTCGGAGTCCCTGGCTCCCATCAAGGAGGCCGAGTCCCGGCGGCAGAGTCCCGAGGAAGAAGAACCCAGGAAGGCTCAGGTGCTGGGCGGGGATGCTCTGCACGTGGGCCTGGAGAGCGTGCGGTGGAGCCAAGCTGAGCACGCCCAGGAGGGGGAGGCCTTGAAAGTGGGGCTCTTTGGACCCCGAAGGAAGAGCCTGTCCGAGTGGAGGTACTCCCAGGAGCCGGCCTTCAGCGTCACCACTGCCCATTACCTTACCGAGTCGGCTGCCTCCCGAGTCGTGGTAACCAGTGCCTTTCGTTCGGCCACCGCCCCCGATGCCAGCATGACCTTTCTGAGGCAGCGCCCTTCCACCCTGAACCTTTCCGTTTATCTTGCTGTTTGGCTTTACGTTTAGAGCAGCCAACCCAAGCTTTTTACTTTTGTTCATGGTTCAGTCAGTACCGCAGTCCAGCGAGCATTAAAACACTTTTCGTTTTACTTCCAGCTCCCCGTGCCCGAGATGCGATAGTGCTGCTGTGGCTTGCAATGAAGGGAAAAAAATGATCCGCTTAAACCAGCGCCTCCCTAATCCTAATAACTCTCTCTGCTTTACCCAACAAGAGCTCATGGTCACCTCGATTGGCTATTTTATTTCCCATTCTTTTCCGTTCCCCGAGTCTCTGGTAGATTCCTTCCTCCCTCCTCCCTCTCTCCTCTGCCTCCAGTTGTGTCTCACCAGCTGTGAATGCGCTGTGTGCCTGTATAGGTTCCTGTCTCTGTGCTTGACTCTCCATTTCTTTGTTCACTCAGACTAAGCAGTCTTCTGGTGAAAAGCTCATGGATGGCTCTGAAATCTTCAGTTTATTAGAGTCTGCGAGAAAGCCGACAGAATTCATAGGAGGGGTTACCTCCTCTTCTCAGAGCTGGGTTCAGGTGGCCTTTTGCTTCCTTCCTTGGTGTTCTGACTCTGCCTGTTTGCCTTGCTTGCTTTCTTTATGCCTGTTTGCTGTGTGTGTGTGTGTGTGTGTGTGTTGCATCCAAGTGGGCTTTGCCTCAAACACCTCAGAGGTGCCCTCAGTTCTTCTCCGTCGTGCCTGCATGGCGTGCCTGTCATATGCATTTAGTTCCATTACAAGAACATACTTCAGATACTCAAAAGGCAATGGTGATGAGAAATTTTAATGGCATTCATTTTTTTAAAACATTTTATGTCTCCTATGAGGTCCAAGAAAGCAACCCAAAACAATGTGAATGTGCTGCTGCAAAGCTTTTTTATTCTGTTTGGGTTTTGGTGGTGGTGGTGGTGGTTTATTATTTAAATTTGTTTTGCACTGCATTTTCTTTCTTTTGCGGGTATCCCAAAGTAGCAGCACAGATTCTAATGTGTATGACAGGGCAGAGGGCAGGCATCAAAGATTCTGGTGGGAGGAATGAAGCTAATTTATATTTCCTAAAGTGTTTATGGTTATAAGCACTTCACACTGGCTTTAGGCATCTTGGTGAGTGGCGTCGGTTTTTGTTGTTGTTGTTTTACCTTTGGTTTATGGAAAGTCGCACTGACACAATCTTTCCCCATACAGAAAACAGAAACCAAGACAGAGTCCAGCGAAACCGAGACAGAAACAACCCAGCCCCCACAGCCACTTAGCATGGAGAAGGTTGTTCAGGAAACGGTGGTGGTGGAGGAAAGACGTGTGATGAATGTGCATGCAAGTGGGGATGCTTCTTACGCGGCTGGAGATGACGCAGATGCTGCAGCACAGGCAGCATCTGCTGGTGCTTCTAGCGTTAAAGGGAAGGAGGGCTCTGCTCTGACGGAGGGGGCTAAAGAGGAGAAAGGGGAGGTTGCCGATAAAGCTGTCCTGGAACAGGAAGAAATGGCCACTGCTTCCCATGAGCCAGAGGAGGAGCAGAGTGCAACAATCCACGTTTCTGAAACTTTGGAACAAAAACCTCATTTTGAGGTAACTAGTAGTTCATTTACTTTTAACACTAAAGTAAACTGATTTGAGTCCTTGAAATTTAGTTAAGCATAAAGATGAAGCTAAGTTTAATTTTCTTTTTCAAGTGCATTTTCTTTCTCCTCTTATTTCTGTCATGCATGGCAATTATGGGTCTCGTGCAAACATATGTAACGATTCTTAATAATATATAGTTCCAGGAAGTGGTTTCTGCTCTCACTGCAATTATTATAATTGGCAGTAAACCTGGGAAGTGCCTGTCCAGCCAGGATATTAGAAAATTTGATAAATTGATTTCTGATCAATGTAATCCTGAAGGACCACAAACCATGCTTGTCCAGGTGCCAAATACCAGAACTTGGTTCTTTATCCTGTTTCCTTGTAATTCTTAAAGTATTGGGAGTAGGGGAGTTATGTCTTATTACTTGTTCCTTCTTTCTAAGAAGATCATATTTTTTAAAAGGCTACTTTATGATTTTTTTATTAAGATTAGTTTATGAGATCAAGGAAGGGGGACGAAAAATAGTTTATTTCCTTCAAAATGTTTTCCTTTACCTGGAACATTCCACATAAAGATGCCATGGAATTCTGGGAGACTGTTGGACATGTGTCTGTGGTGTGCCTCACTTCCCAACTTCCCTAACCTGGTGGACTATGAAAACATTTATTTCACAATAACCTGTGCTTGTATATATCCACCAAGCGGGGAGGGAAAAAACCAAAACTGTGTTTGTACAAACTAATGGCCACTCCCCTACTTCCTGTTGGCGCAGTCATCCACCGTGAAGACAGAAACCATCAGTTTTGGCAGTGTGTCGCCAGGAGGAGCAACGCTCGAAATTTCTACCAAGGAACTGCCAGTCGTTCACACAGAAACCAAAACCATAACATACGAATCCTCAGAGGTAAGAGTCTGGGAAGATCGGAGCCCTGGCACTGTTTTATCCCTTTCATGGCTGAGTGTGTTTAAGTGCAACTGCATGATTGTCCATTTGTGAGACTCAGAGGACCAGCAGCCAGACTGTCTCTGTCAAGAGTGATGCAATAATGTTGTTTTAGTACTGATTGTGGGGTAGCAGGCGCCTTAAATAAGTCTTCCTACATCTCAAATAGTAGAAAAAGGCCCAGACATCTATTTCTATAGCCACCGATAAGGAAAAATATTAACCCAACCAGCCACTGCTCTCATTTCTAAAGCCCCAGTTTTATTAATGACTAGAGGCCCAATGCACTATACACTGGTAGGGTCCCTAGCAGCTGCCAGCCGGGGCCTCCCTCCCTTCCCCCTGCCGGCCCTGCACCCTGGTCGAACTCCCGTACAACTCCCAGTCGAGGGGACAGTTTGCATACTATGCTTTTATTATATAGGATGGTGAACTCTGGCCATGTCTGGGTCAGTCTTTACCCATAGTGGCAGCTGCCAGTTGCTGATTGAGGTGCACAGTGATTATGGGAGACGACTAAGTCACCATAATGCTCTAAACTAAGCAAACATCTGGAGAGGTAATGTAAATATTTGAGTGTGATATCTTATTCTCTGCTTGCTTAGGTTGATCCTAGTGCTGATTTGGAGCCCGGCGTGCTAATGAGTGCACAGACGATCACATCTGAAACCACCTGTTCCACGACCACCACCCACATCACCAAAGTAAGACCTTCCCTCAGAACTTTTTCTAGGTTTGGCTGCATATGCAAATAGTTATGTGACTCTCAGTATGCCAGGAAAGCTGCATTGGAGCTTTCTCAACTACTATATTTATGGTATATCTGTCCTCCTGGGCTAGTTCTGTTCAGGAATATACAGTCTGGTAATCTTTGCTTACCTGACACTAATGCTTGGCACATGATAGGTGCTCCAGAAACACTGGCCAGCCACATCCAAAGGATTCCATTCCATCCTTGTTTCTGAAATTAACAATTTACAATAACTGCCATAGAATTCTGTTTTCAATTCTTAACGGACGATACTGTAATAACTATGCATGGTGCCACATGGGTACTAGACATATCGGGGTCATAACTTCATAAGCTATATAAATGTCTAATCACTATGTTGTACACCTGGAACTGACATAGCATCCTGTGTCAACTGTAATTGAAAATTAGGGGGAAAAAGGATGATGTTACTTAAAACTGGGTCAGCATCTTCTGCCATTTCCTCCATTGAACAATGATTATTCCTCCAAGCAGGAAAATTCATAACAGTTGTCTCTTCCTTCCAGACTGTGAAAGGAGGCATTTCAGAGACGAGAATTGAGAAGCGAATAGTCATCACGGGCGATGCGGACATCGACCATGACCAGGTAGTGTGTGTAAGATGGTCAATACCTGTCAGCAGGGCAGAAAAACACTGGTTGGCCCTGTTCTTCCCAGTGCTATTCTTCCAGTCCAGCATGTAATCTAAACAATTTTCTCAATTAACTTTCCAATATACAATGTACGATTCTTTTTGCAATCATTGTACCTCATTTGTAAATTGTGTATAAAGATCTAGCTCATGAGTCTCCACCTTGCTACTGATCATGCATGTTCCACCTCCTTTTTGTCTTTGCCCTTCTGTGATTTCTTGGGGATAGGCGCTGGCTCAGGCAATTAAAGAGGCCAAAGAGCAGCACCCTGACATGTCAGTAACCAAAGTAGTGGTCCATAAAGAGACAGAGATCACACCGGAAGATGGAGAGGATTGACCCCAGGTAAGAGGTGACACTGATTCACTTGGCTTGGCCTCGGCTGGCATGTGGCATGAGGCACTTTCCCCTCATCCTTCGCCTGACTCCACCCTTTCCTTTTTTCTCTCACTGGCATTTGCAGGGCTGGCTGGTTACCCAAAGGATGGAGACCTGCTTGGCAGGTGCCTGCTTGTTTCAGATTTGGAGGTTCCATCCAGAGGACTTTGCAGACAGTGCCAGCTAGAGGACAAAGGAAAAGCAGGGTCCTTGCTTGCGAGATCTCGCTGGCGTTTGCTTTTAGTCCTTGTCCTATACTCGTTTCATTAGCCAATCTGCAAGGCCAAGTTTGATTTTACTTGCCATGTGACCTGCTCAGAACTAAGGTAGTTTTGTTCTGAAAGGTGCAATATGTGTGTTCCAAATACTAGGGAAATAAAATATACTCCCTAGTCCTTTTGATGGCAACATTATCCCATTGTAAGCTTTTTCTTCAACTGTGTTTGGTTATAGCCTGTGTATGCTTTTGTTTGCTTTGGTTTATTTTTCATTGGAAGCCTGAGCACTGACTTTCATTTTGGATGTCTTCTGTCTCCTGTATTCTGTGTTGATTTGCCCCCTGGTGGAGCATTGCGTCTCAGGAGGAGGAAAATTCAGTCCTGTGGTCCCGCTTTCCTCCAGGAAGCGCATGCCTTCCCAGCTGCTGTCGGGCCGGCCTCACAAGCAGACAGCATCCTCTGTGTGTGCGCAGACTTGTCATGCATACTAACCTGCCATGCAAGCATTTGTGGGGCTCTCAGCACCCTAGGGGGCTTTGAATGCTGAATGCAACTGATGAGCTACTTGCACACTTGGCTATGTGATAAAAGTCTCTTAAATGTTTTACATGTATAAATGAAAGAAGTTAGTTCTCTGACTTTGGTTTAAGAAACATAGATTGACAAGAGGCCTCTCTTAAAGAAAAACATAAAAACCACGCAGATTCAAGTTACTAAGTAACTTGAAAGATAGTAATTTGGAAGATAGAAAGCAAAAAATGATTCTCCGCAGAGCTTTAGCCACTTGGATGATGCTGTAGTTATTCAAGACAAAGCATATCAGTGACTTACACTGGTATTTTACAACATCTTATCAAAAAGAGCATTGAATAGCCTGGCTAGTGTGGCTCAATGGTTGAGCATCAACCCAGGAACCAAGCGGTCACTGGTTCAATTCATGGTCAGGGCACATGCCCGTGTTTCGAGCTCAACCCCCAGTGTGGGGCATGCAGGAGGCAACCAATCAATGATGTTTCTCTCTCATCAATATTTCTATCTCTCTTCCTCTCTCTCTAAAGATCAATAAAAATATACTTTTAAAAAAAAGAGCATTGAATAACCTGTAAGATACTTTTCTTCTGACCTTGATCTCAGGTGTTTTCAAATGCATAACTGACCAACTCTCTTTTCTACAGGAATAACTTAGCCTGCACAGGAATCCAGTCATGCAAACCATTAGGAAAACCAGAGCCTATATGGAGTTCTTTCTTCTAACCCCACTGACTTGTATCTGCCCGTGGAAACTTTCAATCCAGAAGAACAAACCTTGACCGTTAATTAAAGACACTGGCAGAGAGATCTCCCCATAATAAAGCAATCCGAATCAGCAGCACTAAACTGATAATTGCATGAAGCAACGATAAAATTACAAAAGAGCAGCATTTTTAATTTTCACAAAGTGTCTAAGTTTTCAGCTATACCTGCACGTTCATAACCAACAATATAAACCGTGATCTCATGTAACACATAACCAATCCATGCCTTTTATAGTTTATTATCATTAAAGTCTAAACACAATTGCAGTTTCCTAGGTGACAGATCTTTTGTTTACAGATAAATGAAGATTACCCTAAAACGCTAGAAGCTGTCTAGGTCCGTTGTGTCAGGTTTATCCCAGATTAGATGTGCCAATAACCGAGTCCACTCAGTAAACACTTGAATCTTGTACTTGTTTCACCTGGTTTTATTACTCTTAACCCATAAACAGTGACGACTCTCTGATCCTCTGGAGATAGTTAATGCTTCCAGTCCTGCTTTGTGTATCTAATTTAATTCATTATAAGGTAGTACTGATTTTAGCATATTAATGTGATTTCTTCCTTGTCGTCCACTTTGCTCTGCGTTCAATCTTAAAAGATTTCCAGAGTTCCCTATCAGATCCTAAATATGTAAATTGTCATTATTTGGGGAAAAATATGTATTTTTGTTAGTTCACAATATTCTGAAATTTCACTGTTGGAGTGGTTTGTTGTTTTTTTTTCTATCTTCATTTCTGCTTTCTTATATTTTTTAATTGATTTTTCTTCTTTTATTTAAAAAACTGTTTTATTTCCAAATCTGGTCCATATTTACAACCTAGTTCAGAGCCAAGCCTTAAACTGTACAGAATTTCCACTGTAATTAAGCTATTTACTGTTCAGTTATAAATAGACTTCAAAAAGATATATTCTCCATTACACTGTCTATTGCATCACTCAGCCCATGGTGAATGTATGTTTCTGCATAGTGAAATAAAAATGGTAAATGCATTCTCTGTACCAGTTTCAGTATTGTATGTGTTTAGCCCAGAGGTAACATTTGCACAACATCAGAGGCTTTATTCATCTGCATTGTAGAGCTAGCCTGTCTTTGTATGATAAAAAAGTGTACATATGATGACATAGTGTGTGGACTATTTCAGGTATTGGAGATGGGGAACAAAATCTATAATAATAAAAGCATAATATGCAAATCAATCAAACAGCAGAATGACCTTCCAGATGACCACGCTATGACACGCACTGGTGCCAGGCCAGCCAAAGCGGGTGTGATGCGATTGGTTGGGGGCCCAGCCATCACCCCATGATCGCCCTGCAGAGGGAGGCCCAGGCCACCGGCCAGTGGGGTGATCGATCAATCGGAGGCTTCCACAATTGCCCCAAAGAGGGAGGCCCAGACCACTGACTGGCAGGCTGCAGTGAATAGCCTGGGCCTGCCTCTGCAGGGGCAATGCCCCAGCTGGGTGGACAGGGCCTACCTTTTGGGGCGATCAATCATGGGGCTCCTGGACTGTGAGAGGTCACAGGCCGGGCTGAGGGACCCCTCCCCCCACCACGTGCATGAATATCGTGCACCGGGCCCCTACTACATATATAAATGGTTGCCTACAAAGGCCTTTTTAAAAAGTACAGAATCTCAATTTCAAAGTTTTGACTTTTTTATAAGAAAAGAAGCTCTGTTACATAACCAGGTTTCTGACTGCCTTTAACCTACCAGAGAGCCACCTCTTGCTGATGTCGGCTCCATGGCTGAACAGGTTACCCGCGTGCATTCTACGAAGGCCCATGCAGTGTGTTCCCGAAGCTCATCCGCATCAAACTCCTCGCATGTCAGGGACTAAGAATAAGACTTTTGGTTACCAACTGCCAACCTAGTACTTGCTGGCATTTCCTACCATGTCTTGCTTTACCTAACTTTCTGATTTTTTTTAACTCTAAACTTCAACAAAAAAAAATTTCCCATGAAATTGTTAGGTTTGATCACATACTTTGGTCCTATTGAAGTTACCAAATTCTTATCATTTATCTCTGAAGGTGTTATCAGCTTGTCCTTACTGTCAACACTGAGTGTTCATTTTAGGAACCAAAGCATCATTTCCATTGTGTTTGAAGCCAATCAAAAAATGTGTTGAGAAAAACTAACACTTTATTGATATGAAATGGTATCCCAAGGACCCTGCACCCAATCTGCTTAGTTTGTGTCCTTCAGGTTGTACCATGTTCACTATTTTAAAACAATACTAGTGTGTGCATGTTTTTCTGTCCTCGGTGGTAAGTGTTCCTTTTTATAAACTTACACATTATCAAGGAAGTTGTACATTTTCAGCTTTCTTTCCTTCTCTGTTACTGCTCTTCAGAATTTCCCAGCCTCCACTCGCTGCTGTGAAAGCCTCTCCCAGGTGTTTGTGCATTTGTGACAGCAGAGCCCCGCGTCTAATACCAAAACCTGCAGCTGCTTTCTGTTCCTGTGTAACCAATTACTACAGAAGTAGCAGCTTAAAACAACACATTTATTGTCTAGGTTCCTGCAGGTCAGTGTCCACATGGTTTTTCTGGGTCCTCTGTCAGGCTGAGGTTGGGGTTGCAACTGGGGAAGATCTTGCGTCAGAGCTTTTTCCAGCCCTTCGAAAAGGCGTGTCCTCATGGTCATAAGACCCTGGACAGCTTGCTTCTTGAAAGCCAACAACAGAGGGAGACAGGGGGATCTCCCAGCCAGACAGTCTCAGACAACATAATCAGGGGAGCGGCTTCCTACCACCTTTGCCATATTCTACTGCTCAGAAGCAAGTCATGGGTTCTGCTCACAGCATCGACAAATTCAAATGTTACATTTGGAGGGTAGTCAAGCCCTATCTAGCATTCCCTAGTTCAACAGTTTTAAAGATGAATTCCACTCGTAAATAAAACTGGCTTATGCTTATTGCTAAACTCAGGTCATCTCAGAACATTTTTTAGCCGATACTACTGAACGTTTTTTAGCTTTTACTAATACAGAAAAATGTAACATTGTGTTCGGTGTGGAAAAAAGAGCCTGGATGTTACACTTTAAGAAACTGAAGGATTCCACTTCACTTAGCTATTTGCCTCAATGCTTCTTGATTGGCTCTGAGATTCAGGCCCAGGGCCATAAGAAAACAAGAATTTAGGCTTCTCTCAATGAGCAGAAAAGCAAATTGCAGATCTAAAGGCATATGGTCCAGCCTATTGCTAACCTGCAGTTCCTACTAATCACAGAGGGATCTGAAAAACATTAGCTGTGGAGTTGTCAAGCCTTAAAAAATCTAGCCTTCCTCCAGGTAAATGCTGCCTGCTCGAAGGCGCCGAGAGCTCAGCCCGGGTGGTCACATCCTGCTCCTTCTGCAGCATTGGGATTAATGGGCAGAATCGCAGTGAGGCTGAGACACCCATCACCCAGAGAGAGAAATGAGGACACAGAATGTGGGAATTTCATACAGTTTGACTTGCCTGGAACAATCTTCCACCCCCGCCTACTCTATTTCTTTGAAATGTCACAGCCTTCTTGGGTACAGTGAGTGAGAGCGTGCACCTTGGGGACTGCTCAGCCCATTTTTCTTTAAAAACTGCTATAATCCATTTACTTCATTATGTCAACTTTCTAGCACATTTATTGCACAATTTGTCAACCCTAAAAAATCAACATGGAGTCTGGCCAGTGTGTCTCATCCTATGTACCAGGAGATCATGATTTGATTCCCAGTCAGGGCACAGGCCCAGGTTGCAGGCTCGATCCCCAGTGTGGGACGTTCAGGAGGCAGCCAATTAATGATTCATCATTATGTTTCTACCTCTCCCTCTCTGAAATCAATAAAAATATATTTTAAAAAATAACATGGAGTCTAGAACATGGATCCAAAATTGCTTATAAAGCATGGTTATGTCTTCCCTTTTAAATGCTTTTTTAGCCCTAACCAGTTTGGCTCAGTGGATAGAGCATTGGCCTGTGGACTCAAGGGTCCCAGGTTCGATTCTGGTGAAGGGCATGTACCTTGGCTGTGGGCAATTCCCCAGTAGGGGCGTGCGGGAGGCAGCTGATCGATGTTTCTCGCTTATCGGTGTTTCTAACTATCCTTCTCCCTTCCTCTCTGTAAAAAATCAATAAAATATATTTTAAAAATAAATAATTAAATGCTTTTTTACCTCTCTCGCTACCATATAAGAAGTGTCAGCCTTCAATCGCCATAGAGGTGGCCTTGTGTTTTAATAGGCATTTTACTAAGTAAAATTGGATTATTCCATTTTATTAAAAGTATATTTTTGTGGCAGGCCATTGTGTTCTCAGAAATGACATTTCATTTTGACAGTTTCTTATCAGAGCTGTTTAACTCCTAGGAAAGTTGACAGAAGGCAGTAAGGACCCCCTTGAGTGTGGTTACTAACACATGTAGACACACACACACACACACACAAACACACACACACATGCCTCTCGCGATTCTTTCAGATAAATGTAATGTTTAGAGATTGGCCAGGTTCTTGTATTGCAAGCTTAAGAAAAAGCTTATCAGCCAAGATAATATATGCATTTTAGGGTACCCCATGCAATGCGGAGGCACCAGATATTTTTTGGCTGAATTTCAGGCTTACTCATTCTCCTTAAATAATACTGACATCCAGTCCCTGAAGACAAGTGATGATAAAGAAATGCACATTTTGAGGCAGCAGTAGTTACCAACAATCAATTGGCAAGAACATCATTTGAATTGAAAGCTTTGGTGAGGGTACAAAGTAGAAGCCACTCAAACACACTTCTGATGGGAGTGTAAATTGGTAATTGATAAATAGATAAGTAGATTGATAAAGACATATTCTTAAACTTTCTATAATCCTTTTGACTCAACAAATCCACTTGTGGGAATTGTTCCTTAAAAAGACACATAAATCTATAGGAATTAATATACAAGGATGTTTTGCTCTGTGTTACTCATGAAAACAAAAGGTTTAAATGGTAATTATTCAGCAAAGTGGGAAATTTTTAAATCACTTATGGTACGTATATAAGATAGAATACTATGCAATCACTGAAAGTTAAAAATGGAGGAAATCCTAATATTTTAGGTGCAAAACTGGAGAAAATGTCCACTGTGATACGAACTAGTGAAAATGCTTATCTGCAGGGAAAATGCCTGGGAGGATGTATACCCACGTGGGAGCAGTGATCTTCTCTCTGGCAGAAGAGCATATGACTTCTTTCTTCTTGCTGCTGTTCTGTCTTAAAACGTTTCTTTCCATGTTTATCGCCATCATTATATTTTTTAAAAAAACAATAGGAAATAATACCAGTAATTTTATCTGGCAACTGAGAATAATGGAGAGTAAGAGATAAGTAAATGAGAAGAAATTTGAAAAATTGACTTTTCAAAGCCATTATGATAACCACAAATATTACAAACGCCTTGTTAAAGACTGACTTGTGTAGTCATATTCCAATTAGAATGGTGATCGATGAGTTTCTATTACAGACAGTGAAGGTATTTATAGGAACCCTGATGCTAGACCTTCCAGAGGAATAAGCGGTGTCTTGGATGAGCATCAGCACCTCAGGCAGTGCATTTGCTTGGTCGGGGTGGTTAGTGGGCTGCAAAGCGTTAGCTTTACCACTGTAGATCTGAAAGGTAGTGTTTCTCTGGGTTTGCTTAACTCTCACTTCCCTCTGCATGAAGCTGTCACTATGTCACTAGCCCTGTTTTTTAAAGCAAGCGTAGCCTAAAAATAAATAAATAAAAACATAGATTGTGAACTCGGCCATCCTGGGCCACGCCACGTAAAGTTTAGTCACCTGGTGCCAGTAACTTAGACACTTGGGGCCTCCGTTTACTCATAGTGAAAAGAAAGAATGATAGCCAGCTGCTGCAGGTGGTGCTGGTGGAAATCCTTTGCTTCTATGAGAAAGCATATGACCAAATAGGAACGTAGGAGAAAGTTCTTTGTAAACTATGAAATGGCAGCTTAATGTAAGGACTAATATTCCC